CCTCCAGAGCTTCACTCTGAAGCGGACCCCCAGCCACTTCCTCATGAACCCCCCATGCCCCCTCAACCAGAGGCAGACACGATTGACCTGGAGTCCACTGAGGACACTCCTATTGTCCTAGACACTCAACCAGACTCTGACCCATCACCTCAACATTTAGAGGACTTTAAAAAAATTTCGGCCCTCATGATCAGGCTGGCAAGGGCCCTCAACCTTACCACCCCCGAGCCTTCAGATACAGTCACAGACCCATGCTTTACTTCTACTGAACAACAAGCACCCTCATCTACTGTACTGCCCACCTTACCTTATCTCTTAAAAATCCTAAAAAATACAGGAGTTGCACCATCCTTGGTTCCAGCAACCCCTAAAAGGGCAGAAAACTTATATCGCATTGATCTTTCTTCAGCCTCATGGCTGTCCAAAATGCCCAAAGCAAACTCTGTTGTAACTGATGCTCAACCAAGGCCAACTCAAATTAACCAGTCATCTCCCTCTGACAAAGAAGGGAAGAAACTGGATTCTATGGCAAAAAAAATTCTATTCCTCAGCATGCCTTTTTGCCCGCATGGCACATTATGGAGTCTACATGAGCGTCTACCAAACCCTACTCTGGAATAAAATCTCTCCATATCTAGACCTATTACCACCAGCTGACCAACCGCTGGCAAAGGCCTTTTCACAAGAAGCCCTGTTGTTGGCCAAACTACAAAAAGACCTAGCAAAAAATACAGCCGACACTTCAGGCAAACTTATTGCAGGCTCTGTTGCTCTCAGGCGCCATGCATGGCTAAGAGCTGCAATTCTTTCTCAATCACAACGTGCCCTCATTGAGAACCTCCCTATGGATGAGGCGGGCCTGTTTAATCCTGAGACTGACTCTCAACTTGAGCACTCTCACAAAATGAAACAAACTGTTTACAAGTATGATCAACAACCATACACCTACCAACGCCAAAGATGGGGCTCTTACTATTACCGCCCCCAATTCTACAACAGGTCCTACAACACCTCCTTTTACAGGGGCAGACAAAGACCCTACRCCCCAGCTACAGCCGCAAGACGCCCGTCTCTTCCTTCCAGAGGTCAGTACCGTGGTACCAGACCGCCAAATAACAATAAACGTCGTTTTTGACACACCTTCACTTGACACTACCCCCCCCACCCACCCACCCCCCACTTACATACCTGAACAGACTGCATCACTTTCTTCCACAATGGCAATCCATAACTACAGACACCTGGGTCCTCGATATAGTGGACAGGGGATATGCAATAGAGTTTGATACATACCTGCCAGTTGGCACTGCCCTTCTCACTCAACCCTCCCAAGCTATTTGGGAGGAAATCAAGTCCCTCCTTGACAAAGGAGCTATCTCTGCCACTCCTTCACATGCAACCAACACCTGCTTCTATTCTAGATACTTCCTGGTAGACAAAAGAGATGGCGGCCTCCGCCCCATCCTCGATCTCCGTAGACTCAACACCTTTATCACACCACGCAAGTTTCGTATGGTCACCCTCCCTAACATCCTCCCTTTCATGCCTGAAAACTTGTCGTTAGCGACAGTGGACCTACGAGACTCATACTTCCACATCTCAATTAGACCATCACACCGCAGGTTTCTCACCTTCGCGGTTCAAGACACACATTTCTCCTTCAATTCACTCCCGTTCGGTTTGTCCACGGCTCCCAGAGTATTTACAAAGTGCATGGCCGTCATAGCCGCACATCTCCGGCAACAAGGCGTCACGGTTTTTCCGTACCATGATGACTGGATGTTTTGCTCTCATTCAAGGTCCAAATTGTGCAAAGATATTGACTACACCTTATCTCTTTTGCAGGTCCTTGGACTGGTTATAAACCAGGACAAATCCCATCTTCAACCGACGCAACGCATCCAATTTATCGGAGCTATTTTGGACACCACGCTCCAAAGGGTGTTCCTCCCGGAAGACCGGTTCCTCAACTTCCAACAAACTATTATTACCCTACAACACTCCCAGCAGGCCTCGGCTTGGACTATCCAGTCCATCCTTGGACACATGTCCTCTACCACAAATGTGACCCCATTCGCCCGCCTCCGGATGCAGCCCCTTCAAAACTGGTTCATCAGAACCTTCGACCCTCTCCGCGACTCAGTCCCGGATCCTTTACCCACCTCTCTCCGTTCTCCACTCCCTCACATGGTGGACAAAGGCACACAATGTTCGCTTGGGGATGCCATTCAATCAACCTCGCCCCTCCGCGTCCCTCACAACAGACGCCTCCAACTCGGGCTGGGGGGCACATCTCAAAGGATTCCAGGTCAGTGGTCACTGGTCCCCACAAGACCAGAAATTCCGCATCAATGCTCTCGAAATGATGGCGGTGGAAAAAGCCCTTCGGGCCTTCGCCTGAATTATATCCAACCGCATGGTCCAAATAGTGACAGACAACACTGCGGTCAAATACTACATAAACAAACAAGGGGGAACGAGATCACAAACACTTCTTTCAATCTCCACACGCATCTGGGAATGGTGCATTCAACACAATATCCTTTTCACAGCCATCCACCTCCCGGGGCAGGACAACGTCTTAGCAGACTCCCTGAGCAGGACAACAAAAAACAACCAAGAGTGGCATCTCCACCCAACACAATTCAAACTCATAACACGCAAATGGGGCACTCCCAGGATAGACCTCTTCGCCTCCCCACTGAACACCCATTGCCCTCTCTACTGCGCAAGGCTCCGCCCTCACGCATCCCCAGGATGCCTCGGAGACGCCTTCCTGTTCTGCTGGACACCAGGCCTCCTCTACATCTTCCTCCCTCCCTCTCCTGTCCCCGGTGATAGCCAAAATAATCCAAGACAACTCAGACTGCATTCTAATCACCCCGTGGTGGCCACGCCAACATTGGTTCACCCCACTCCTCCTACTTTTCAACAGTCAGTTCCTCAAACTCAACCCAACCCCGGACCTCCTCACAGTGGAGAACGGGCTGGTGCTCCACCCAGACCTCCAATCCCTCCGCCTAACGGCGTGGAGGATTACACCTCAATGAATGTGTCTGAGGCAGTATCCCGCATACTCCTCGCCGCCCACAAGCCTAACACTAAAAAATCATACAACTATAAATGGTCCCTCTTTACAGCTTTCGCAAGATCAACAGGACACAACCCCACTACAGCACCTATCCCAGTAGTGTTGGACTTTCTGGTGCACCTCTCTGACAAATGCTCCTCCCTCTCATCTGTCAAATGCTACCTAGCAGCCATTTCATCCTTTCGAAGACAAGTTGGCTTGCCGTCCCTTTTTCAGAGCCACCTGGTTCAGCTGTTTTTAAAGGGATACAAAAACGTCCACCCTCCTACCTCCCCTCCCCCTCCCCAGTGGAGTTTAGAGTTAGTACTATTCCAGTTGTCAAAACCACCTTTTGAGCCCATGGCCTCCATTGATATCTCTCACCTTTCCTGGAAAACAGCATTCCTGATGGCCATCACCTCCACCAGGAGAAGCAGTGAGCTTACGGCTCTTCGCTCAGACCCACCTTACATTAGGTTCCATGATGACAAGGTCGTTCTCCGTACCGACGTCACATTTCTTCCAAAAGTGGTTTCCCATTTTCATATGTCACAAGACATCATTCTACCAGCCTTCTTTACAAACCCAACCTCCCCGTTGGAAGTGACCCTTCACTCCCTTGATGTTAAAAGAGCACTATCGTTTTACTTACACAGGACATCCTCTTATAGGAAGTCTCCTAAACTCTTTTTAAAGTACAGGAAAGACACACTAGGCCACCCTGTGTCCTCGCAAGGGTTGGCCTCCTGGATCGTTTCAACGATCCGCCTAGCCTATCAATTGGCAGGAAAAGAGCCACCATCTCACCTGGTGGCCCACTCCACTCGATCGGTCTCTACCTCCCAAGCTTTTTTGCGAGGGGTTCCACTGGATCAGATCTGCAGAGCAGCTACGTGGTCTACGCCTTCCACGTTTGCCTCTCACTACAAATTGGACATACAAGCCAAGAAAGATGCCGTTTTCGGCAGAGCAGTTCTTTTTTCCTGTGTGGCATGACCCACCTCCAGGTCAGTAGCTTGCTATTTCACCCATAGGTGCGCATTTCACGGAATACATGAAGAAAAAATAAAGGTTGCTTACCTGTAACCGTATTTCTTCGAGTGTTATTCCGTGAAATTCGCATGACCCGCCCATCCTCCCCTGTCATGCCTTGCCTGGCTGCTGTTTAGCGCTGGGGAACTAGCCAGAAGCCGCACGCCGTGGTGGATACGCCAAGGGGGCGGGGACATGGGCGGGGCTTCCGTGTCCGTGGAATAATCATTTAAAATAATCATTTAAAAAAATCATTAAATCTTAGAATGTCCGGATTGCTGCGCAGGCGCAGGGGAGAACCCATAGGTGCGAATTTCACGGAATAACACTCGAAGAAATACAGTTACAGGTAAGCAACCTTTATATGTTTTCTCCCTACTATTCTCCAGTATTTCCTCTCTGTAATCAATGACCTCCAATTTGTCTTCTTTGTGGACAGCAGGTTGAGAAACATCTTCTGCACTAGTTGTTTGTACATACTTAACCTGTTGCTTTAACTCTTTCCCTAGCTTTTCCATCTGCTTCTATCAGGAATGTCTGACATTAATTCCACACGCGGGTTTTGATTAGCTGAATTTCTTTTATCCTTATATCCTTTTGTAGCTGTTTTTTCCAAATAGAAAAATATTCTGGTTGTAAGGGGAATGTTACACCGATTCTGAGTTTCTGGCCAAAATCAAAGAAGCTATCATAGGCAAAATGTCATCCCATCCCCCATCCCCTGCCCTCCAAGGGCATTTGTCTTTTACTTCAGGATGCTAACATGCTTTCTTTTCCTGTTGTGCCTGGAAAGAATGAAACCTTGGACACCACTGTACTTCTAAGGAGCTGTGTGCAGAGTGCTGTGGGAATGCTAAGAGATCAAAATGAGGCTGCCAACCGTAGCACTAAGAGAATTGAAATTCTCCTCGGTCTTCTATCTAAAGCAGATGATTTGAAAGGTAGGAATGATTGGGAGAATTTGGTTTTGTAAAACTAATTGTTTTAACAAAGACTCCTCCCAGAATATATTTGTACATTCTTACTCTCTAGAGCATGAAGGTACTGGGTTAACATGTACTTTTAAGAGAGAAAACACTAAGACCCATTACAGTTGGATAGATGTAGTCAAGAAAGCCCCAATCCTGAGTTTGCAAGACCTGAGCAGGGCTGCTGGTGACAGAGTGAATCTGAGGTCTCTCATTCATTGGGTTGCCCTAAGTTAAATTCAATATGAGGGCAGTTAACAACAAAACCGTTAGTCATGCTGGCTTTATACCACCTGCAGGGCCAGAGGTAGCGTATCTCTGTGAAACAGTTGTAGAGGGCTTTCTCCAGATATCTCCTTCATTCACAGTAATACACTGGGTGTTGTAGATAGGTCTTGTGTTCACATTTCCTGAATAGAATTCATATTTGCAGTTTTGCCATTGGTGATAGTTAAGGCTGCAGAATATCAGGAAATCTTGTGAAATCTGAGATTTTGCCATAAGGAGTACTAATTATTTTATTTTCCTACCCTTTTCCAGCCATCTTCCTAAATATAACAAATAGTCGCCTCTTCAACCTTTTGAAACAACAAGAGAATAATTTTTACGCCATGAAAGAATGGGTACTTCGACAGGCATCAAATCTGAATGCCCTTCAGGAAGCAGGAACATTCAGGTACAGACACCGATTAAAACCTGTCAAATTGTAACACTCTAAAATGTTCAGAGAACAACTCTGAAGTGCTTCTGTAAGAGTCCTACTTTCAGGAAAGGCACAGTTTCTCTACTTTTATAAGCCCTGAGTTTTTTGCTTATGAGCAAATAAATTCAGAACTAAAATGAAGAATGAAATTTACCACCCAGACACTCTGAAGATACTGTCTTAGCTCCCTACTCCATACAAAAGGCTGAATAAATAATCTCATTTACTTTCCACTATGATATTTTGGGATTAATTTTTGCTTGCTAGCTGTTCTTGCCTTGGCATGTAGTTTTTGTAGGAACTTGACCACATCCTACACATGCTTGTAGTCCACATCAAGGGCTTAAATCAGGCATCCTCAAAATGCGGCCCTCCAACTGTTTGGGCTGCCAACTCTCAGAAGCCATAACAAGCTTGTTCAGTTGTCAGGAATTCTGGGAGTTGAAGCCCAAACAGCTGGAGGGTCGCAATTGGAGGATCCTGATTTAAGCCCTTGATGTGGAACATGGAGAAATCCGTGTGCGGAAGTCTACCATGTACTTAGGAAGTAATTTCCACCAGATCCTCCATGAGAAGATGAGGTACCACTTCAGACTGGAGAAGGCCCAGAACAGAGGTCTCAATGGACACTTATTCTCCAGATTGATCTTGTGCAAGCTTGCATATGAAGGTTGAGGGGAGAGATATAGGAATCTTGAGATATTCGTCTAGAGTACTTTATATTCCAAAGGGACTCCACTATCACGCTTTACCCTGTGAATTTAGGACAGGAGCTCTGTGTAACAATGCCACCAGTTGTAGGGAGGTTCCTGACTTGTCAGGGTCTCCTACAATTTGTAATGAATCTTTAAAATCGATAACACAGCCACTAGCCTGTAATATTTTGCTTATCTTCCTTTGATGTGTAGCGCAGCTTGACTCGAAAGTATACAAAAACAGAGGCTTGGATTTAAGAGAAACTGTAATAGGTTTATTGAAGTATAGAAGCTTAATGGTTTCAATGTTTCTTAACTCCTAGAGGTACATTCCTTTAGTGATTACATTTATAACCTTTCATAAAACAACTCTTAAGAGGACTGTTCTTTCCACTAAACAGGTTTTGAACTTATTTCCTTCAAAATGTGTTACTTTCCTTAACAGATCACTCCAGGTACTAGCCTATTCTTTCCCTTTGTTATCTCTGTTACAGTAAAGATTCTTACTGGGGTTCTCTTCCCCTTTTTGCTCAAACCCTAACTACTAATCTAAATAAGTCAAATTGACCTATCTAAACCACACAGGCTAAAAGCCTAAGCCTTCCTGATTCTCAACACAGTAGAATCAGCTTTCCCTGTGGTTCTCTGACCACAGACTGCCTATTTAAAATGCCTGCTCTTGCCAAGTGGCAGTTGGCTCCTCCCCTTTTACCATGGCAACTCATCTCAGAGTGAGCTGAGCTGGCTACCATCCCCCTAGTTATGCTATTTTAAATACTTACCCCTTTTAAACACCTACCTATAATTATACATGACTATAGGTTGAAATTCACACTTCACCACCTTGTTTCTTTTATTTTTGGTCCAGCTGTCACAGGGCAACTGATCTGCTTACTGGGGTCTCGGGTAGGACATGTAATGTAAAGATTATTATGGTATTTACACTGGAGGTGAGAAGTTGCCTTCTGATTCAGAGAAGGCCACAAATGTAATGAAATTGCCCCACACATTTTTTTTTTGCATTTTTATTTAAAAAGAAGGAAAGCAGAAAATTTAGCATAGATTTGGAGTGGGGATATATCGGGAAGAAACCATTTGTTAGCAACACAAAATACAGTGTCTTTGACTTAAGACTTGAAACAGTAACCGATTTGGAGTGTTTAAATTAATATTCCTGATCTAAGATGCGCATACACCATTCCAAGTGAATTGAGTTGAAATTCAGAGTTTGAGTGCTTTCCTTCCATATCATTCTCTGGTCTGAGTCGCCCAAGGGCTGAGAAGAGCGGTATACAAATATAGTAAATAAATAGTAAATAAGTAAATTCTCTTCTGTGACATGTCAGAATGGCCCTGAAAGAATCCTAGTTCTTTAAATTTCATATTAATACTATGTCTTCCTTTTTGTTTGTTTTGCCTGTGTTGACACTTGCAGACAGACCTTGTGGAAACGGGTTCAAAGTGTGGTAACTCCATTTTTGGCTTACATGCTGTCAGTCATAGACAGAGATTGTAATTTGGATCTGCTGATTAGGCCAACAACAGAAAGTTGTGTGAAAGCATTGTGGATGTTCATCTTTGGGGATCTGAAACTTCTTAACATCCCTTATATCGTGGGTCAAAACAGGTAAGTTGCATGAAATAATGTGAATGAGGGTAACAAACTGCTCTATTCTTTACTGTTGTAGTAAATAGTCACTCTTGCTGCATATAAATAGAATATCTTGTTCACTTCACATATATTCATGTTAGTTGTAGGCTATGATATTTTATCTTTCCATTTTTCAGCGATTAGGAATAGTTAGTGAAACTAATAGAAAGACAACATTCTTTGAGAGTATGGAGAACTAGAGGAGTAAAACAAATTTCTGTTTTAATTACGTAGATAGTTTCTTATTTTTTGTACTGGCCTTTTCCTGCTTCTAATATGCTGGCAAACACGAAGAATGTCGTTATAGTTCAGATCTGCTTATGTAGAAAATAAATATATAGTAAAGTAAATTAAATTTGTATTAAGTTTCTGAATAAAGTGCATATTAATGTGAACCTTTGTGCGAAGCCATTGGAGTCATGTATTCCCAGAGGGATCTCTCAAGGTGATGGTATCATAGGAGAGGAACCAGACAAAGAACAATCATAAGGCCTTGATGGCAAAGAAGGTGGATAATAACATGGTACATGTTACAATGGCTGTGATGGCAGATGAAGGCTGCAACAGATGGGAGTCCACCAGCCATCAGGTCAAGCATGCTATTGGATCAGAACCTCTTTCTGTGAAGACTTTGTGATTGTCACTGTGCACTCATCTCCATACATAAAACAAATTAATGCACAGGCATCTTCTAAAACAAGCCAAAACCAAATAAAGTCCCATGGTAAGTTGTGAATGGCAACAGGGGCAGGACTGTGAAATCTGGAAGCCCCTAGTCACAGACTGGCACACGTGTGGCAGATATGGATTCACTTGTTCTAACTCAAGGTCTGAGGCCATTGAACAATCCATCAGCTGTATTCATGACTGAGCAGCCCTGTTTGGAATCCACTCTACTCACCCCATATTGGGAGGAGGCTAGAAAAGGTGCCCTAAACATAGCCTTCTCTCTCTTACTTATCCCTGACTGGACTGCCACATCCAGAGAGATCACCACCTTTAGTAAAAAAAAAACCAAAACAAAACAAAACATAAGGATGTTGTTGAATAACACAGACAGTAAACACCCTGAATGCATGACTGCTATTATTGCAAGGGATCTGAGGTGCTTTAACATTGATATAGCAGTGCTTGAAGAGATTCAGAAAGCTGGAGAGAGACAACTGAAGGAAGAAAAAGGAGGCAACATCTTCTTTTGGAAGGGCTTGTCTGAACAGAACAATGAATACACAGAGTCATTTTTGCAATCAAGAAGAACCTGGGGAAACACCTGTCTGAACCACCTGTCGGCATTAACAAATTACTTTCAACCTTGCAAATTAATCTTGCCAGAAACCAGCAGGTAACTATCATAAGTGCCTATGCACCAACATTAGATAGGAGCCCCCGGTGGCGCAGTGGGTTAAAGCACTGTGCTGGCAGGACTGAAGACCGACAGGTCACAGGTTCAAATCCAGGGAGAGGCGGATGAGCTCCCTCTATCAGCTCCAGCTCCTCATGCGGGGACATGAGAGAAGCCTCCCACAAGGATGATAAAACATCAAAAATCATCCGGGCGTCCCCTGGGCAACGTCCTTGCAGACGGCCAATTCTCTCACAACAGGAGCGGTTGCTCCTGACACGACCAAAAAACCCCAACAACAACCAACATTGAATGACTGGGCTGGAAACAGGAACTCAAATGGCATCCTTACCAAATATGCAGGACAAAACCTTGTCATCACCAACAGACTCTTCCACCAGAAAAATAAGTTTAAGATATCATGGAAGCACTCCCGGTCAAAGCAATGGCACCTCTTAGACCAGTGACGCGAACCTTTTAGAGACTGAGTGCCCAAACGCAACCCAACACCCACTCATTTATCACAAAGTTCCAACATAGCAATTTAGTCTGAATTTAGTCTCCGAACGCATCTCCACCTATGAACCGACTAGAACATTAAGATCGTCTGGGGAGGCCCTGCTCTCGGTCCCGCCTGCGTCACAGGCGCGCTTGGCGGGGACGAGAGACAGGGCCTTCTCAGTGGTGGCCCCTTGGCTATGGAATGCCTTACCGGCAGACATCAGACAGGCATCTTCGTTGCTGGCGTTTCAGAGAAAGGTTAAGACCTGGCTTTATGAACAAGCGTTTGGTTAAGCAGTGCAACCAATCAAAGGAAGATGGTAAATGGAACATAGGAATGGCACAAGGATTATGAGAACGGATCTGATTTCAACTGAGGCGTTATGTTTTGTTTTGTCGACTTGTCTTGTTTCGATTGTTAATTGTTGTGGATTGATGCTGTTGATCCTGTTTGTTGCATTGTTATGCTTTAATTGCACTGACATTGTTTGATAAATTGTACCATGTAAACCGCATTGAGTCGCCTGCTTGGGCTGAAAAATGCGGTATAGAAATAAAGCAAATAAATAATAAATAAATAAATTCTTATTGTAATATCAACATATGATCATTATATAAACAGTTCCTGACACTCCTCAAAACTCAGCCCAAGATGGACTGGAGCCTGTGGCTGGAGAGAGAAACAAATGACACCCATAGTCTCCGTATCCCAAACCCAACTGGGTTGTCAGTTGATTTTTTTATCCCATATTAATGAATGGGGAAGCGTCTTCCATCACAGTCTTGAAGGTATCAGGGAGACTTTGTTGCTACCTCCCAATATTTGCAACACTTTGCTGCTACCTCCCAACATTTGCAGTCTGAGGTGACACCACATTTCTCAGTTAACCAACACCCATGGAGATTGTTAGATGCTGGCTAAATGTAACTCTGGTTGCTTGAGAGTTACTATTAAAATAGGCTTATCTCATACTATACCATACAATAAAAGCTGTATTAACTTGATATTAATATTGAAATACAGTAATTAAAAACAAAATAAACAAAGACAAACTTAACCTAATGTACACAGCTTTACTGTATTATAAAAATAGCCAAAATGGATGCTCCCAGGTCTGTTCCCTTTCTTAGATGTCTCCTTCTCTACTAGCTGAGAATGTGTTATATTTTTGCTAAGGAGAAAAATGTGCCCATCCCCATCTGTAGGTAGCAATACTATTTTTCCTTTGAGGATGAGGTTCTTCTTTGTCCACCTTTTTGTTTCCTTGGAATGAGCTGTGGAAGATTTAGAGGAAATAGTTTCAAAGCACCACATGATTTCTTGCTCTAATGAAGCAATGACACGGAATATACTTTTTCTTGGATAGCTCCTTCTCGTTGGCTAGTGTGGACCTTTACAGTAAATGTCCAATGTGCCATTTCTTTCTGGAAAAAATGGATCATGCCTGTGGACTCCTTGCCCTGCTCAGACTACAGCACACTTAGGGAGATGACATGGAGTAACATGTATTTAATTCAAGACTAATGAGTGTCTGTATCACATTCTACACTGAGTATTACTACTTCTATTTTAGCCAACCATAATTTATTTTTATGGTTTGGAAGACTGATACCTTTATGATCCGCCAGGTGAAGGCATTTGGGGAGAGGCTTCTCTGTGGCTGCTCCTAGGCTGTGGAACTCTCTTCCAGAGGACATCCACTTGGCGCCTTCTTTGCTCTCTTTTTGACAGCAAGTGAAAATGTTTTTATTCAGACAACCCTTTCAATTTTAATTGTGGAGTAATAGTGTTTATATGAAATGATGCACCATATTTTTTAGTGTTCTACTAGAGTTTACGTTTTAAGTCTTTTACATGTTTAAAATGTGTTTTTACAATATTTTTGTTAATTAATCCTTTCCTACCTTTTGTAAACTAATTTTTTAACTTAATTTTAAAAAAATTATTGTAAGATGTCTAACATCTCATGAGAAAGGTGGGATATAAATTCAACAAATAAATATGCAATTAAAATAATTGAAGTAGTGCATTTTAAACATATGTGTTTTTAAGGTTACTGTTGCTAATGGATATTGCTGGCAACCTTTCTTTTCAAAATACTTTTCTGTTTCTTTTCCAGCTCACAAAGTGAAACAATTCTGGTGCCAAATAACTTTACACGATCTGTGAATACTGGCAATGAAATGCCCTTCAGCTGGAGAATAAAAGATTATCTGGAAGATCTTTGGATTCAGGCTCAATACATCACAGACAATAAAGGTGAGAGTGCAGAGCAGCCATTGTAACTAGCACCTCTTTGGGCAAGTAATGCATTTTGAAAGGTACAGCTGAAGTACCATCCCTTTCTGATGCATAAGTCTTCCTCCATTCTTAGGAAGCTATATGTATGAGTAAGGCTGGTACTATTTATGTAAGAGAAGCTCTTGAGTTTCTGAGCAATCAAGACAGATTCTGCTTGAATTTAGAAACGCTAATTGGGAATGTTCCAAAGTAGCTCGTTATTGAATGGTTCTGCTTAAAAAATACTCACACATCCCAGAATGTTACATAAGTACAGTACATTACTGTGCTACTGGCCAACTGCTAAAAATATTGGCTGAGGTCCTACATTGGAATGTGTGACACAAAATGATCTTTGTGTCTCTGTGCACCCTGCAGTGCTTTCCCCAAAGCAGTTGTCATACTGGAGGTGTGCCTCTGCTGCTGTTTAGTGGCTGCCATCTAATGACTCACTGAAATTTAGGGGAGGCAGTTACCAGGCCGTGTGTAGCACCTAGGAGAAGAGATGAGCTTTTATGGAAGTGTGGAAAAATTGTCTCGCTTCTCTTCTCCCGATAGTTGCCTCCTCTGGCCAGTGAAAGGCTGTGGTAGCATCCCATAAAGTCAACAGCTTATTAAGGAGAAGGATTTGAACATTGCATGCAGAGCTGGTATCCAAATCAAAATTTATGTGCATGTCACTAACAGGGAAGGTCCAAAACAAGGCATGTATGGACAAATTTAAATTAGCAATAGGATTTCAGCCCAAGTTTTGTAAATAAAGAGAGATAGTTTTGCCAACCTCTGGATACAATCTAGATTCTACATTCCCATGTCATCAGCAGAGAAACATGACCAATATATCAAGTGTTTTAGATATGCTGCAACATATACTAAATAATGTATTGGAAAATAAAGTCATCCCGAAGACCTGGGAAAGAGCCAACATAACATTAATTCATAAAGAGGGCACGGACCCAACAGAAATTAAAAATTTCCGACCCATTTCCCTTTTAAACAACAATTATAAAATATTTACGAGTATTATGGCCAACAGACTCAAATTACTGTTAAAAGATTGGATATCTTCAGAACAAACAGGCTTCCTACCAAACAGACACATAAAAGATAACACCCGGATGATAATAGATACTATTGAATATTATGAAAAACATAACGAAAAACAATTGGCATTACTATTTATCGATGCTGAAAAAGCATTTGATAAGATTAATTGGGATTATTTAAAGCTACTACTAAAAGAAATAGATATCGGCTACCATTTTAGCAACGCAGTAGAGGCCATTTATACGAAACAAGAAGCTACTCTGATAATTAATGGGCAAGAGTCAAACACCACGATAAAAATAAATCAAGGAACACGACAAGGCTGTCCATTATCACCGTTGCTATTTATATTAATAATGGATACGATGATTAGAAATATAAACGACGATCAAAATTTAATAGGAATGAAAATTCAAAAATATCAATTTAAATTAAAAGTTTATGCCGATGATGTGGTCTGTATTGTGGAAGATCCTGTAAAATATATAAACAATTGGATAAAGAAAATTGAAACATTCGGAAATCTGGCCGGCTTTAAACTTAATAAACAAAAAACCAAGATGCTAGTGAAAAATATGGATAAAAAGTCTAAAGAAGTATTGCAAGAAAAATCAGGCCTAAAAATTGAAAGAAAATACCTAGGGGTGAACATAACCCCAAATAACATTAATCTATTAAAGAACAATTATGAAACCCTGTGGAAATCCATAAAAAAAGATATAGATAGATGGAAACATCAAAATATCTCCATGCTAGGAAGAATCGCCACTGTAAAAATGAATATCCTACCCAAGCTACTCTTTTTATTTCAAACATTACCAGTCATAAGAAATGACCATCTTTTCAAAAAATGGAAATCAGACATAATAAAATTTGTGTGGAAGAATAAGAAAGCAAGAGTAAGTTACAAAATCTTGACTGATGAAAGAAAAAGAGGTGGTTTGGGACTACCAAATTTTAAGACATACTACGAGGCATGTAACCTTGTAGCCTTCAAGGAATGGGCCACATTAAAAAATCAAAAATTATTAGCTTTGGAGGGATTTGATCTCAGGTCTGGGTGGCACGGGTATATATGGTATGGGAAAAGAAAGGTAGAAAAAAATTTCAATAATCATTATATAAGGGCTGCTATAAACAAAACTTGGGAAAAATACCAATCAAGGCTATACAATAAAACTCCAATTTGGATCTCCCCGATAGAGGCAAGGCATAAAAGGGAATTAGGGTCTGAAAATTGGCTAACATATAAACAAATTTTAAAAACAACGGAAGAGAGAAAATTAACCATCAAATCAATAGAAGAAATAAAGCAAATAAAACCCAACTTCACATGGTTACAATACCATCAATTATATGAGAGTTTCAAAATAGACAGAAAGAGAGGTTTCTGCCAGGAAAAGGGGTTTTGGGAAGTGATTATGCAAAAAGAAAAGAACTTAATTAAACTACTATACAAACAACTTCTAGGTTGGGAAACGGAGGATGAGCAAATTAAAGAATGCCAGATAAAATGGGCAAAAGACATTGGACACAGTATTCTTTTGAAACAATGGGAAGAGATTTGGAACAGGAAGCTTAAATATACAGTCGCCACCGATTTGATTGAAAACTGGTATAAAATGTTTTATAGGTGGCACTATTACCCGGAAAAAATCTCCAAATTTAACCGATCCTTCTCGAATAAATGTTGGAAATGTCAAAAAGAAATAGGAACGTACTTCCACCAATGGTGGACTTGCAAGAAAATTAAAACATACTGGAGAGAAATACATTTAGCAACACAAAAAATCCTAAAAGTCAACTTTCCATCATCACCTGAAATGTACCTTCTTGGCATCTCTTATTCAAAATTTAATGCGAATCAAGAGAGGATATTCTTTCTCTTAAGTACAGCTGCTAGAATAACTCTAGCCAGATTATGGAAACAAAAGGACATCCCAACAACAGAAGATTGGATCTTAAAAATATTTGACATAATACAAATAGACAGCTTATCACAACGCCTAAATAATTCATCAAAAAAGACAAATTGGGAGGGATTTAAAGACTTTATTATAGCCAAAAGGAAGATGACACTTTTAATAGATATATCCAGCATTTGAAGGAACCTCAAGTACCGAAGAAACGCCGGTAGTGACAGAACTGTAAATATAACACCAGTTATAATACTAAACTCTTTGAAGATGATGGGAAGTCACAGCACGGGGGAAGGGAGGGTGGTGACGGTAGGGGGATGCACTCAAATTTATTTCTGTACACTTTTTTTTACTGTATTATGTAATAAAGAAAATGCACAATAAAAATATTATTTAAAAAAGTGTTTTAGATCAGATATTTGAAGCCATGTGGAGAGGTGGGCAAAAATAATAATAATTATAATTATTATTATTATTATTTAAAACCCAGCATTTTCCCTTTGTACTCTTGTCTTGCAGACCATGCACAGAAGTTTGTGAGCATTTTTCAGCAGACACCACTGGGGGAATGCATTGCCAGCTTCTCTGAGGAAGAGAGAGAGACTCTTTTCTACTATTATGTCAGAGACTTCCTCCTTCTGGCAATGGGTGTGTCATCTCAGAGCAAGTTAATTGTAAGTATTTCTATGACAGGTGTCTGAGTGTATGGAAAAATTATTGTTCTGATGCTCAGGAGTTCTCTACTAGTTTGTAGCAGTTCTATTATAATTGCTGTGTGAAAGTTGGATTCTAGGTTTGTTTTTGGACTACTTTTAGGATATTTTGAGAATTTTATTGTGTTTTTAAAATGTTTTCAATCCTTGGATTGTTTGGTTTTTTACTTGCTCATCACCTCAGGATCTCTTAGTGGGAGGGAAGGTAATTCAAAAATACTTTAATATATGTCACATATATTGGGAACTGTAAAAATAAATGTTTACACAAATGCAAGATTCTTTTTACAACATAGAATATTACAGTTGGATGACAAAAACTTAATTTGGCCAACTGAAAGGCATAAAACACATTAACTTGCAAAGCTTCACAGGCTTCTTCATCAAGCAGAGATTTTTTTTTTGTCGTGTCAGGAGCGACCTGAGAAACTGCAAGTCGCTTCTGGTGTGAGAGAATTGGCTGTCTGCAAGGACGTTGCCCAGGGGACGCCTGGATGATTTGACGTTTTTATCATCCTTGTGGGAGGCTTCTCTCATGTCCCCGCTAAAATAGGATAACAGCTCAAGTAAATGATCTCCATTCATCTTTTGATGTTATTGAAATGTATGTATGTAAACAAAACCACCCTCATGGCCACAAATTGAGTGGGATGGTAACAAGGCCTTAGAATAATTTGGCTTCTCCAGCTGAAATTAAAACAACCACCTCAAGAACTGTATTTGCATCAGTAGATTTTGAGGTAGTATGGGTGTGTTTTCCTCTGTGTGGGTAAGTTAAATGCAAGATAATAGCCTTCAAGCAGAAGCCAGCAAACTGTTAAAGTGCTCACAATAGATCCAATGGACTCTGGTCTCCCTCTCTCTTCTTGGCATCTTTTCCATTTATCTTTTTCCCAACCCACTCCCTCCCCTTCACCATCACCCACCTGCTGTTCATCAACAAGGCTTGAGCCATGGCTGGCGCCTCTTCCCTTCAAATTAAGGGAGTATGCTATCTTCGGACCAAGGGTGGGACCCTTTGCCTTCCTCACAGTCTTACGTGTGGGGATAGATAGAGGAAATGATGGCAACCTCTTCCAGTTAATCATGGTGCATTTTATGTTCTTTGATTAGTCCACTAAACATTTTACTGCAGGATGGATTTGTGATACGTTTTTTTTATGACCAACACTTGTGCCCCTGCCCCTGGGTGTGCGATTTTAAGATATATTATTGACTGTTTAAAGCCTTGTGTTTTATTTTAATGACAAAACAAACAGTTTTAATAACAAATTTTAAACTTATACCTTATGCTTAATCTTTGTTTTGTGTATTTTAATATGTATTTTGTGGAAATGTGTTTTAACATGTGTATTTTAAAGACTGCTTTTAGATAAATGTGTGTTTTAGCACTTTTGTAACCTGCCTCAAGCTATGAGGGAGAGGTGGGCAAGAAATAGAAATTATTATTTATTATTATTATTGCTATTATTATTATTTCCAGTTGTTGCAAATGGCCCTCTTATCATGCATAGAGGAAATGAAGGAAGCCTCTTCCAGTACTGAAGAGAGAGTGCTGTCTCTCCCATGGATCCACCTTGCTTACCATAAATTTAAGAGTCGACTGCAAAACCTTTCCAGGATTCTTGCTGTGTATCCTGCTGTGTTGAATGTTCTTAATAAACATGTGGAGGAAAGATCCAGCATGCCACATGACCACATGGTAAGAAGAGTACTGTGAATGCTAGTTTTAGTGTCCTAGAATAAAGCACAATCTAAAAAAAATCATTCTCATGTTCCTTTTAAGTATTAGGAAAAATTGATTTTTTTAAGAGAGAGATGATACATAGAGGCTCTCACCACACGGCTTTGGAGATGTCTACAGACAACGGCGTCTCTTCGGCTTAGAAATGGAGATGAGCACCAACCTCCAGAGTTGGACACGACTGAACTTAATGTCAGGGGAAACTTTTAGTTTACCTTACCATGTCTATAGCTTTGTTGCTTCCGATAGTTTTCCTACATAGCTAAGTGGTCATAGAGATCTCGACTGTCCTTCCATATTAAATCATTTTCTTATAACTGCAGTGTCAAAATCTTTTGTGTAAATGTACATCAAGCATTTATCACAACTCGACTGGAAAAAATAGAAACAACTGTAATGATACATAGGTGAGAGCGATTGAAAAAACTTCAAAGTAGAACTGGTGGAAATTTATTGCTAAAGCAAGAATACAGAATTTACTATAGACAAGTATTGAATTTACTATTGACAAGCAATGACCAATCTTGATAAGATAGTTAAGAGTAGAGAGAGACATCACACTGGCAACAAAGGTCTGCATAGTTAAAGCCATGGTATTCCCCATAGTAACCTATGGATGCGAGAGCTGGACATAAGGGAGGCTGAGCGAAGGAAGAGAAATGCTTTTGAACTGTGATGCTGGAGGAAAATTTCGGAGAGTGCTTTGGACTGCAAGAAGATCAAACTAGTCCAGATTTCAGGAAATAAAGCCTGACTTCTCACTGGAGGGAAGGATATTAAAGGCAACGATGAAGCACTTTGGCCACATAATGAGAAGACAGGAAACCGTGGAACAGATAATGATGCTGGGGAAAATGGAAGGAAAAAGGAAGAGGGGAAGGGCAAAATGGATGGATGTTGTCCTTGAAGTGATTGGCTCAACCTTGAAGGGGCCAGGGGGCAGGGGACAGTCAACAGGACACCCTGGCGTAGGCTTGTCCATGAGGCCACAAAGAGTCAGAAGCAACTGAACGATTAAACAAAAACAAGTATTTAAAAATGCCAAGAAGACAATGTTGGGGTTTCCCATCTAGGTAAAAAAAAAGGGGTAAAGAAAAATAGAAAGAAAAGGAAATGGTAGAACATAGTGGGTGTTTTTTGTTTTTTTTTTAAGAAATAGATGTAATAGTTCCCATTACATCAGGACAGTAGGGGAAAATGAGAGTCAGAGCAAGACCAGCTCCATCAGGCTTCTCCCCTTAATGATCAGTGTTGGTAGCCATTTTGCCAGATCATAACAGAAATGTGAAGAGAAGTGGGGCCTTCCCAACATTTTAGCTGAACACATCTTGTTCCCCCCCCCCAACTACCTTCTACATACTCTGTGGCTGGGTCTACACTGCCATATAATCCAGTTCAAATCACCCACAGATATGTGTAAGTGGAGCACACAAACATAGTTGTTTTTTCCAAAGTATGCTGGAAGGCTTTTATCTTCTTTGATTGCTGCAATATATACAGTATATACAAGGTATACAAACTTTACAGTTTCTCTCTACTCCATAGCAACTTCCCAACAACCATCATCCAACGCTCACTAGGGAGAAAACAACTCTTACATCCCACCCCATTGCATTAGCCTCCACACTCTAATTACAATGACATAGCACTTTCACATGTGGTTAGGCCTTAAGAAATGTCAGGTGATTTACAAATAATGTCTCGTTAGATTGCCGACAATTATTGTCTATTTCATCGATTGCATGTCCAAGAGGCATTTTAACTAATGAGTAGCATAGTTATCGTGAAACAAAAAATAAATAAGCTTTCATCACTATGACTGATAGAAAAAAGTATTACTTTTGTATGACCAAATGGATAGCCTGCATACTACTCAATTTCCTTTTCTTGCATATTAATAAGAAAGGGCCTGAGGATCCAAATCATGCTCTCCTGTATACTCATTACTCAGTCTATCGAGAATATTAATTAGAATATCTAAACAAAATTAATAATTTTAAAAGTATATCCCCTCTTTACTGTCTTGTGTCTATATTAACCATCATGGTTGTACCTCATTATCTTAGGTACTAGATGTGCTTGCTGCAGTGGCTTGTACTGAAATGTTGGAAGAAGAAATATTAAAGTGTAGACCTCAAACTTGGCTCCAGCAGGTGAAGAACCTTCAAATGCCAGTTGAACTTGTTTGTACAGGAAATTATTTGCAAAGCAGGGGAAACCAATGTGATCAACTGCTCCAGGAAGTCAAGTAAGGATTTTTCAATGCGTAAAAATATATTTGGAAATTAATGATAGATGGCAAAGGCTTTTAGTTGCTAGCCCTACTCATATATAACTGTAAATTTTTAGTAAAAAATTCATCCCAAAATACCTTGGTTGACCTCGCAACAGGTCAATGTAAGTAACCTTAATTGTTCTCAAAAAGGAAATATCCCCTTTTCCAAATAAAGTGGTGAAATGTGAAAGCTTGCATCAATCCTGGGATAAAAGATGCATTAATTTATTCTGCTTTCTCCACCACATTGCAGCTTCCGGCCTTTTTGAATGCCTGGGTGGTAAAACTGTGGTGGAAGAGGCCAGAGACAGCTAGCGACACTGCTGCTTTCACCTCTCTGTGGACCTTCTACTTACCTAGAAGTCATATCAAAATCACTAATCTCTAAACTGGATTTATAACTGAGGATTACTTGTACATGGCTGTGATTTAAGTCATCCATATCTCAAGTCCTCCTACACTAATCAGCTCTCCTTCAAAACCTGCATTATTGGCACTTGCCGATACTCTCAATTTTTATCATAGAAGTTATACATGCTTTATTGGCAATCATATACTTAGGCAATCCTTTGTAAAGGGTTTTTTTTGGTGGAAATTACTGTGACAGATGGACTAAGAAATTATAGCCATGCTGACTGGCAAATATTTTGTTTTATCTTTCAGTTGGAGTGGCTTAATGGGACAGGTATTCCCCTTTAGTTCCCCCCTCCCCTGGTCAGGCAAGAGCTGTGCATGTAGGGCAGGTGTGCTACTGGTCTCACTCTGCACTGGCTTAATTTTTTGTCTCTGCATAGGGCAAATATCTTAATTGTATTACAGTTTCTGGTATTATCCGAGTATGTGTATATTTCCTGAGTTAGTGAGAAAAAGAATTCACAGAGTGGATTGCATCCCATCATCATCCAGAACAAGCAAGGAAGATAGCTGATGTTGTGTTTTCCTAAGCCAGGTTAAATAAACAACATAAGATTCAAGCAAAGTCCCAAAATAAATAGATAGCCCAAAGCTGAAGTCCTTCTAGGCTTATAGCTTCAGTACACACCAGCTGTTGGGGGTGAGATAAAGCCCAAGTTCAGAGTCTCTAGTTATCATGGTCACACCAACAGAGTTTCAGAGTCTATTCAGCAACAAACACCCATCAGAATTCCAGTACAAAGGCAACAAAGCCAGTAGTCCAAAGAAAACAGTCTGAAGCTAAAGTCAGAATCCAAAAAACAGTAGTCCAAAGTGCAATCCAGAGTCAACAAGGCCAATCTAAGAGTCCAGGGGTATATCCTGAAGCAAATACATTGCCACTTTAAACAAGACTGAAACCTTAAGAAATGTTTGTCCTATGTTCTCTGGCGCTACCTGTATAAAGTCTGTTTCACTGCTAATCAGGCAGACCTGTGAATTGAAGCATGCTCTTGTCTGAATTATCAAGGGGACGGAGCACTTAACACTTCATCAGCCTGCCGATAATGTACTGGTTTTTGCTTGCTCTTTCTGCTGGGAAGTGGTAGCTAATGCTGAAGGGTCCTCTTCTGCTATAACTAAGATAGGCTGCGAGGGCTGCTGGGAGCTGCTGGTCTGCAACATTGGCCCTTCCAGCAACCCCTCGTCCTCACTGTCAGAGCTAACCAGAAGAGATGATGACATCAAAGCCAAGAGTTTTCAGTCAACTTCTTGGCTGGTTCAGTACTTTCACTGCCATTGCCCAAAGTGGAGCTCAATTTTATTTTTTCATCTTTTGTTATTATCTCTTTTATTTCATGCATCTGAATTGCCTGCTACTTGAACTATTTTCTACTCAGCTTTTTCATGTTTTGTCTTTGGAACTTCAACAAACTCTTCTCTTTCCCTTACTATCCCTTTATCCTCCTTCCTTCTCTTTTCAGCTCCCGTGGGGAAAAGGGTTTCTTCTGTGCCTAAAAAGACTTAAAAGGTCTCCTCTCATGTCTTCTGGCCTATCTAAAAGAGTTAGATCAAATAAGCTCCCCTTTTCTCCATCCCCAAACTGCAAGTCATCAGTGACTAAGAGATGATTGTACATGCTGATCTCCACATGCAGTCTCTTCTACAGCCTGCATAGAGATTGGAGGCAAAGGTTTTAGCTGCCCAAATGAACAGGATTGCCTGTGGAGTCACACAAGAAACCCCACTCCCAGTCCTCCTTTACCAAATACCTACCTCCCAAGGACAGAATGTATGTGCTGTTGACTGCAGTAAATAAGGAGTTTGCCATRATTGTCTCATAAAATCAACACATACATTCATGGAGCCTCCTAATATCCCCCCCCCCCCCCCCAGCTCTTTTTGTGCCTTTTTTCAGCTTTCCTTCAGGATGAAGGAGTTGACTATCATTTTGAAGAGGCCTTTTCCAACCACTATTTTAAATGCTCTTCTCAGTCCCAGAGCAGCCATTTTGAAGGTCAGCAGAGTACTATTGCAAACAGGTTGAAAACTAGCATAGTCAGCATGGCCATTCTCCATGTCACTATTCAGTGGTTTCTCTTTCACAGCATTTATTAGATGTTGGTGATGGGAATCTGGATTTTGTCTCTTCCTTGCCCCACTCTGTCTAGAATTTTACACTCTGTATTCTTAGTCACTGAAGCAAGGACTGTTTCTCCTGCATGCTCTTACTCTACCTCCCAAGAAGATTTCTTATCTCACCAACATAGGCTGTGGGTGAAACTGCATTTATGACAAGCGTGGTCCAAGTGGTTCTATCAGGATGGCAGCCACTCTCACACTCTTTGGGGAGGTAAACCTGGGTATGTTTCACTGTGAATTCCTTCTCTCATGAATCCTGAAAATGCTGCATTGGATACTTGCTGTGAAAGTGAGTTCTGGGTTGTTTTGAAAAAGAATGCACGCCTCCCTTCATGTCTGCTATTCCCTATCTAGATGATTGGTTTAGGGCGGTAAGACAGGGTTTTCCCCTGTTTCTGTGCTTTCTTTGTGTCTGTTCTGTTGATTGACTAAGGCACGAACTGGCTAGCCAAGTTGGTGATTGCCTGAAAACTCATAGCTTTGATGATATCTGCTGACTTCCCTGCCAGTTGTGGGAGTCTTCCTATAAACAATCCATAATTTTACAGTAAGTATGCAGAGTGGCATTTTAATCAATATGGTATGAATTGGTTTCCCCAATGAAACAGAAACAGATGGAGTCGGGTTTTCTCCATGTCTCTCTTCGTGGAACATGTGGTTCTTGAAGCTGAAACGTTGATTCCAGAGGTGAAGAATCAGGTGAAGAGGTACAGCTTGCAGATTGGAAAAGTAAGAACCTCATTGATAAATGTAACAATTGACAGTCTTAATCATTGATTACAAGTGTATTATACAGGTGTGTAATTGTTATCCGGTATTAAATATTATCTTGGATTCAGTTATATCAAACTACCCAGCTGTTCTAATAAAAAGGTTCAATGCAACAAAGTCAGTTGGAATAGTTCATTTGACTAGATTCTATATAACAGTGGAAACTAATGCATTTTTGGGTTATAGGTTTTTTCGGGCTATATGGCCATGTTCTAGAGACATTCTCTCCTGACGTTTTGCCTGCATCTATGGCAAGCATTCTCAGAGGTAGTGAGGTCTGTTGGAATTAGGAAAATGGGTTTATATATCTGTGGAATGGCTGGGGTGGGACAAAGGACTCTTGTCTGCTGCAGCTAAGTGTGAATGTTTCAACTGACCACCTTGATTAGCATTTGATGGCCTGGCAGTGCCTGGGGCAATCTTTTATTGAGAGGTGATTAGATGTCCTTGATAGTTTCCTCTCCGTTGTTTTGCTGTTGTAATTTTAGAGTTTTTTAATACTGGTAGCCAGATTTTGTTCATTCCACAGATATATAAACCCATTTTCCTAGTTCCAACAGACCTTACTACCTCTGAGGATGCTTGCCATAGATGCAGGCGAAACATCAGGAGAGAATGCCTCTAGAACATGGCCATATAGCCCAAAAAAAAACCTACAACAACCCAGTGATTCCGGCCATGAAAGCCTTTGATAATGCATTTTTGTTTGTAGTTGAGCATCTTGTTCTCATCCCCACTCTTAACCTGGAAGGTGATCGTTCTTTTTGTTATTTTTAGTGTTTTCAGTGGGATTCTGACATAAAAACCCGTAACACATTCATTGCAGTGATGAAAGTGATGTGCCAGTGTAAGGATGAAACTAGTTCAATATTTTGCAAGTAAGTCTTTTGGAATAGGTGTGTTCCATTTTGTGAGTATGCTTTGAATTTGTCTTCACTATCAGGCCCGGGAATTAATATTCTAGCTGGAGATGGTTAACTGCATTAAATCCTGCAATGGAGAAAAGTGGTTAAGAAATATTACCATGAGACCAGTTCTAGATTTTCTTTTCTGTTTTGGACATGCTAATATTTATCCCTTTCCTTGTGATAATTCAGTTTGTTTCGTGATTGGATATTCAGGTACATAAGGAAAATGCCCTGCTTTTCAGTTCAAATGTTGACATTAAAATAGCAAAAACAAAAAACTCCACTCCTAAATAAGAAGCATCATATGGCAAAAGTATAGTAAAACTGTTTCACCCACAACTTGTAAGAACATAGGCTATGAGGCAGCTAGCAGTTGCAAAGATATGAGAGAATAAAACTTATTAGTTTTTCAATGGGAAGTGTGGGCCTGCTTTTGGCTGATGAGATAGGGTTGTTGTTGTTGTTGTTGTTGTGTGCTTTCAAGTCATTTCAGACTTAGGTTGACCCTGAGCGAGGGCCAGGTAAATTACCTTGAAGGGCCCTATCCGGCCCCCGGGCCTTAGTTTGAGGACCCCTGGTCTAGGCTGTAGTAGTGTGTGGGTGCCTGGGAACATTCCCGGTTCTGATGTCCAAAGAGGTTCTATTGTTCAAAAGGGCAATTTCACTTTTAAAGGAGAGGAGATCTGATTATTTATTTATTCAGAGAATTTTTATCCTGCTCTTCAGCCACAAAGGCACTCAAAGCAGCTTACAAAATAATAATTTGCCTTCAGGCTTACAATCTACACAAGATAACAACAACAATCATAATCATTTTTTAAAAAATAGTCCTTCTCTCCTCACAACTTGAGGTGGGTTACAACATTGTAAAACACACACCTAAAAACATTAATTAAAATAAACATATTAAAGCACACCTCTCTAATCAGCCAGGCTGCCTGCAGGAGTCAAGAACTTGTAGTTCAATAAAGGAACATTTGCAAATTCTGTCTATGTATCCCATGTATCCTCAAACTATGGCCCTCCAGATAAATACAATGTAATACATAAGACATGGTGTAGCTGTGTCTTGCTGGCTGCCCCGTTCCACTTAATGGCCAGAGAAAAGGCAATTGACAAAGGTGAACTAAGTGGCAGGAGAGCAGGTATAAGAGAAGGGGGACGCGGTGGGGAATTAACATTGTTTTAACTTTTATTTATTTTAATTATTAACATAGCTTTTACTTTTTGGTTAAAATGCTTATACAAATACTTCCATATTTGCTATGATAATTTAAGGGGCTTAGTGTTCCTCGTCTTTGACTATTCATAAATTCTGGGAACAGCTCTTAAGAGACCCAACTATTATAGACTATGGTCAGAGATTCCAGGAGGCAAATCAAGAGACACGGTCTTAGAATGATTGGTTGAGTGTCCTTTCTAATTAAATAAATGCTATATTTATTATTATTTATTTCTATCCCTCTTTTCTCCTGAGTCGGGACTCAAGGCGGCAATCAGCATACAAAAGCAAAAAGACATGACATACAATAACACGATCAACAATACATATGTGTTTGCATTGACTGTTATTCTTGAATTCCCAGGTATGGTTTGAAGCCTTGCCCAATTTGTTTGGGAGATCCCGGAGAACCAGTAAACCTTCCTTGTGACCATGTGTATTGTCTAAGTTGCATCAAACAATGGCTAATGCCAGGACAGATGTTATGTCCAGTCTGCCTGGTCAACCTGCCAGATGACTATATTCCCACAGTATCCAAGAAACTCAGGTAAAGCTTTATCCCTGGTCAAGCAAAACATTAAGAACTGTTAATAACTTTTAACAGAATGATTTTGTGTTAATGTGTAGGCTGTGTATTTTTAAGTGTTCCTGTCATGTCATGCTAGTGCTGCAGTTGTCTAGATAAATAATACTTCATGTCTTTTCTCCATAGCATTGCCATAGAAAAAAATGCCAGTTTCCGTAAATTCTGCAACAGTTTTTTCTTAGACCTGGTTTCCACAATGTGTTTCAAAGACAATGAACCCCCAGAAAAAGCTGTGATTCAGGAGCTGCTGAACTTGCTGTTTGTTCACAAGGAGTCTTTGAGAGGTATGGTCTCATGTTTCTGTGAAATTTCCATACAGGAATGAAGTTACTGTTTATTTCTTCAAACCAATTTGCTTTCCTATCTCTAGGTTTTGGGAATTCCAGTGTACATACAAAATCTCTGTCTCCTTTTGATGATGTGGTGGATAAAACTCCTGTAATCCGTTCTGTGGTGCTAAAGTTGCTTCTGAAGTACAGGTAAGGATTTCTAGTGGTGAGGAGAGCTGGAACAACACCACCTGCTTTTCCTTCAGTGTTAACCCCATCAGTGAATTGAAGTAGTTTCCTTCAAGTCTGCATGGTTGAATGCTTGCATATGTGTTGGAAACTGCCTTGAGTCCCCTCAAGGAGATAGGGCAGTCTATAAATAAAGTTTTATTATTTACTATTATGATCCCTATATTGGTTCAGCTATCATTGTTATTTATTTATTATTTATTTAAAAGTTTTGTATATCGATCTTCTCACCTCACTTGAGGGACTCAGACCGGTTTCCAACCATAATATCACATACAGTCAATAAAACATCATACTTCTTATTACAATAAAACATTAAAACAGCAATTACATTCAATAAATACAATGGTCAGTCGTCCCACTAAAATCGGTGTTCATCATCCTCCATCCATATCTCAGGGTGTTGGCTCACTTGTCGAATGCCTGTCTCCATAACCACGTCTTCACCTGCTTACTGAATGTCAGGATAGAAGGGGCGGTTCTGGTCTCTGGTGGGAGAGAGTTCCAGAGTCGAGGGGCCACCACCGAGAAGGCCCTGTCCCTCATCCCCACCAGACGTGCTTGCGAGGCCAGTGGGACTGAGAGCAGGGCCTCTCCAGATGATATTAATAATCTTGATGGTTCATAGGGGAGAATACGTTCGGAGAGGTAAACAGGGCCGGAGTCCTGCCATCTATCTGCAGTCTATTATACAGATTAATGTCAGATGCATCCTTGTGATACTGGAGATCTTCTTTCATGTTTAAAAAATGGTTGATATCAGAGGTCCATGAGTTATTTATGAATAAGTTGAGGCTTTTTTTTGTTTTCATAGCTTTGATCATGTGAAAGACTATGTAAAAGAATACTTATCACAAGTAGAAGATAGTTGCATCCTAGACAAAGAAGATAAAATAGAATTATACACACTATTTGTCAACTGCTTTGAGGTAAGCCTATTTTCTCAGTTTACTTTATTTGTTGTAGAGCGTAAGTGTGCCATTGGGGACTGCACGCTTGAGTCTCTAGCAAGCACATTCATTTGTCATTATAGCTGAATTGTTTTGCAAAAGAAGTATGATGTCTTCCTTAAAAGAAAATGTTGTTAAGAGAGTTTTTAGTAACAAAAAAACAAAACACAGTAGTTCATTTCACCTTAATTCTGCCATCTCCAACCTGATCTATGCTATGGCTCCTGTGCTCTTCTATTTTCTTTGGGAAACCTGAGTCTTGTTGAGATTCTAATAACTCTTCAGAGAAAGTCAAAGTAGCTGCAAAGATGTCAGTGAAGGCTGCATGAATATTTTGGAACAAGATTGACTAAACCAGCAGTTGCTTATGATTTACTTAGTTTTATTGAAGTGTATTAAGAGAAACAGCTAGTGAAAGGGCAAAGGAGTAAACTGGCTCTTCATTTCAGCTAAGCTTTCTTTGCCTTGCCCCCTCCCTGCTGCCACTAAATTGCATTTATAAATTTATCAGGCTACTAGTTGCTTGTATGAGGTACAAAAGTAAATTTCCTTACCCTAAAGAAATAATAGTCTGTATGTAAGCTTTGTGTCTGAATTAGCTTAAATAATTATACCTATTTTACTGGCACAAATATGGATGTTTTAGAAATAGATATGATCAATTATTTAATATTTTCATTGTTTTAATATACTGGGTACTATCCACTATCACAATGGTGATAGTAGATTTTTTAAAATTAGAAAAATGTATTGTAAACTTCAGATTTGTAACCTTTCCTGTTGTGCAAAAAACTTCAGTTGGAGGTTTCTCTGCAGCAGTGACCATAAAGGGAGGATATCCCTTAATTTTCAGTCCAGTTGTTTCTTTGGCATAGTCTCCACACAAATGGAGACTGTACGTACTCCTGCAAATTGCTTGATTACATGAAATAAGTAGTCTCACTGACATTGGAAAATACACTCTTATTTTTGTTTAGGATTCTATGTACGAGAAATCAGGAGCCTTCTCTGAGGATATAGAGATGAGGCATCTGAGGGAGGATGGGCTCTTCTTGGCAAACCATTTACAATGGAGCAAGGACAGGCAACCAGCCTCAAAAGAATCCTCCATTGAATACTTGCAGGGAGTGGCCCACATCCGACTGTGCTTGGATAAGGCAGCAGATCTACTCTTTGAGCTGCATAGGACCCCAGGCAAGTGGAGACAATGTGAAATTGGAAAAAGAGATAAAATATATATACAAACGATATATACATGAAAAACTTACATCTTTTGTGTCCATATTTTACAACAGCACAAGGCACCATTTTTATATGTCTCCTTTTACTACCAGATTTATACGCTTTCATATATAAAATTTTGAAAGATGTTTGTCTCCATTGTTTCTGTAAAAAAATGCTAGTTGTCAATATTTATTTTGTTTCTCTTTGCAGATGGTATTAAAGAAACAGATAAACAACTCTATCGTGAAAGAGTGATGCGATTCTGTTGTCAGACCCAGAATGACTGGTATAGAGTTTACCTTGTTCGTAAACTTACAAATCAATACGGATTGGAGTTCACGCAGAAGCTTCTAGACAAACATCCTTTTCAGTGGATCTTTCCATCAGAAATAGTTCATCAGCAACAGGTAGAGCAGAGATCAATCTCTCTTGTTACGAACTTCTGGAACAGTGGTAGGGAAAATTCGGGCAATTGGGCCACTTGTGTCCTTTAGGCTGATTCAGTCAACAGGGTCCAAAGGAACTGTATTGATTTGTTTATTGTTGTGTATATTTTCTAGGGTGCATGGAGAGAATTTTGCCATGACTCCAGGGACACTTCCTGTTGTTAAAAAAAGGCTTTTGTTTGGGTTTGATACAGCTCAGAATACCAATAATGTGGAGATTGCCTTATATTCCTCCTTGGTGCCAAAATAATTTTTATACTTTTTGGTGAAAAATACAGCAAAGGGATGTGGCCTTCTGAAGTCTCATGGGGAGAAGTGAAGCCTCTTAACCTCTGACACTTGCCCATCCATATTATAGATTAATGATTTCTCAGCAATGGCTTCATTAAGAGTGTCAGACTAAATTTGCAAACTATAAAAGTTACTTGTCTTATTGAAACTTGGCTCAAGGCAGTGGATATATTGCATTCTAAAGACTATAAAGTAAAATGACTAGGTCTATCGATGAAGTTTTAAAAATTAGGCTATCTTGACTTATGAGAAGTCCCTGTCTGCTTTTATATAGATGTGTTGGCTTTCAAAAAATTGAAATTCTGCTTCGAGGTGACACCTTCATTCCACATTTCTTTAAACAATCCACATTTTTAAAAACTTGATTTCATATTCATGTTTTATAAACCTGAGTATTTGTTTTTTGTGGCCTCAGAAGGGTCAGCGTGGTCAAATTGATCGCTTCCTGGTTTGTGGCAAAAACTATAGAACAGTACGTGATGCCATGGGAAAAGCACTGATTGAATGCCAGGCAGATGGTATTGCAACTGCCCTTAAGGTAAGGCTCTTTCTTTTTGATCAGAAATATCAATTGAAATACAGTTGGTGAAATTTTACTGATTACAAAAGTGGGACAAATTTATTTGATTAATTAATTTAGAACCTGCCTTTTTCTGAAATGAAACCATGTCTCCTTTGGTTTGCTTCCTTTTATACTACAGATGTTTCCAATATAGATAGGCGTGTGTTGTTACAAGGAAAAAATAGACATATTCTCAAGGTAGTTCTTACTTTTTTTCCTAGTTGGAACCCACATGTATCTATATTGGAAACATCTGTACAGCTGCCTGCAAGGTTTGCTGTCACTTTATCCTTCAAAATGATGTGCAATATGGTAGTGGGCTACTTTTCTGAGGAATCAGCCTTTTGGGCTGTTCAAGCAACAGCACCTTTTTCCCCCAGCTTTCTTCTTTTCCAAGCAAAATGGCCGATGACCTGAGGCCATATTACATCCTTTATTAAATATGAGTTATTTTTACTGCTCATGCTCATGAATAGCTTTCCTCTTTCTCAAGCGGGAGATTGGTTTGCCATTGTCAATTTTCAGGATGCCTATTTCTATATTGATATCTGTATGGAATATCAACAATATATGAGATTCACAATCAGAAACAACTCTTTCAGTTCAAAGTGCTTCTCTTTGGTCTATCAACCACAACTAGGTCATGGCTGTAGTTGCAGTGTGTTAACTGCATACTGATCTTCCCACACTCACATACTAGATTCAATTTCCCAACCCCAGACTCAAGTTGCAAGGGTGGGTTTCCAGACGAAGAAGAGCCTTCGCACCAGTGCTCTCATTTGGGACTGCGTCTAGTCCTGGAAGAATGTCACTACCAGACCAAAATATCTTGGAACTGGTGATAATCCACAGGTGGTGCGTTCTTCCCCCAGGAGCTTATCATGGGAGAACTTGGCAGTTCGCCATCTTTGCCCAGTCTCTCGACATTACCTTCTTTCCAAAGGTAGAAACAGACTTCCACTTTTCACAAGAGATGGTTTTACAGCATTCTTTTCCAGCCCATCATCAGACCTGGAATGTTCACTCCACTATTTGAATTTTCACAGAGCATTGCCATTTAGTAGAATTTGTTGCACCGATGCTCTTCAGAAGTCAGTAGATCACTTAACAAACTTGCCAGATGGGTCATTCAATTGATTGTTTTTGCCTACAAACATGCAAACCTTCCCTTGGATGACCATGTGAGGAATCTTTCTACTAGGGCTGCAGCTCTATCATCAACTTTCTTGAGGGACATTACGGTAACAGAGCAGTGTTGGACCACAACATGGCTCGGCCCTCAGCATTCATTTGGTGCTACTGGTTGAACATGAGGACTCAGGCTAATGCTGCCTTGGGCATGACTATCAGTCTTCAACCTTTACCTTCCTAGGTGTGTAAGGTTGCTAATTGATATCTTTCCGTTTGATGCACAGAGACCAAGAAGAAGAAAGACATGTTATTTCCCTGTAACTTAGATTTTTCAAGTGGCCATCTGTGCATTCACACAATCGACCTTTCCTCCTCTTGTTGACACACATGGTACTATATCTAATTGCTGCCACTGTGTCAAATGACTTGATACTTCTTTCCTATAACTTGTTTGCTTTTTAGGCATGTAACAGCTCCAAGTCTGAGCAGACTGTCCATTTTCTCTTGGCTGTCTTCAGAGAGCTCACATCTCTATATGGATGCAGGGACCCAAGTCTTCATCCTAAACAGAAGGTAAGTTGTACTCCAGAGTCAGACTGCATATTAGTTTGCACACAAATGCTGCCTCTTGTGGAGAGGGCTTTCAGCAGTTTACAGTAAAAATCAGATTAGGAAGATCTGAATGAAGGCTGACTATAAGGATCCTTTTGAACATCTGTTGAAAAGATCAACCTCTAAACATTTTAATCATCTTCCAAATTTTCAGTTATTCTAGTATAACACAGAAGTGGTGTAAACATTTGTACTTGGGCTGCCTGAAATAAGACTATCAGATCTGATTTTAGCTTTTGCAAAATGTTTTTCTTCTTATTTCAGCAATGTGACCTCCTTAAAGAATTTATCCATACCTCCGAAGTTCTTCCTTCTCCCCAACTGAAGGCATTTGCAGACTCCCTGGTGACAAACCATCTGTCATCACTTACCCTCAGCCCCCAGGATCCCAGTCAGAAGACGGTTGTAGTTGAAATGGCTGTTCATGTGAACGCTGTTCTTCTGTCTCGCCAGAATAAAATCCTTGAACCTCTAAGCAATCTGGCTTTCTTGCCCAATACTATGCAGGTAAATAAAAGTCTACTAAACTTTTTCTGTCAGTTATCCAAAAGAATCTTCCTTTCTTGCGTTTCTTTTTCTTTTAACCCTTAGCATGTGGAGTACAGAGTAGTCTAAGAGTGTCTTAGTTTTAGATAACTTAAGTGAATTTAATATGGAGAATCTTATCAGCAAGTCAGTCAAATCAGTCATAATACACCACTGTATATTATTGTAATATTACTTTAATTTTCATTCTCTCCTGTTCTGTAGAATGCTTTTCTGCCAACAATGCCCGAAGATTTACTGGTTAAAGCTGCAAAGTGGGCGGCAACAGCAGGTCTTCACTGGTATAGTAAGTGTAATGCCCAGTGTTGGGAGAAAGCTATGAAAATTGTTTTAAGTGGTGGCCTCTTTAAAGTAGCAATAGGCCAGGTTATAAAGAAGATTATTTTTAGTGTTTTCAGGTATTATATTCTTTTAAATCAAATTATTCTATAATAGTCATTTGAGCTAAATGTAACCATGTATCAGTGTTGACTTTAAAAAGGAAAGTTATAGTATTGCCATTTCTCAAAATCTGGAGTTGTGGTAAAAATGTTAGTAAATGTACTCCCTCACCCACTTTTTATATTTGCTTAAGTTATTAACAACAACATTAACAACACAACATAACAAATGTACTTTATACCAGGGCTTCTTAAACTTTTCTCGTTCTTGATCCTTTTTGCCTGAGAGATTTTTACATGACCCTAGGTATATAAATATATAAAACAAGTATCCAAATCAAACATTTCCTGATCATTAATTGTTAAGAAATTTGTGTTAAAACAATTATTTAGTATGCATATACTTTTACCCGTTATTAAAGACAAACCCTTTTACCGTTACCAATTTTTTACGACCTCCATGTTCAGTCAATGTGACCCATTTAATTAAGGCCGCAAGCCACAGTTTAAGAAGCTTTGAATTATACTACAAATATAAGAAACATAATAAAAAGCCCACCAATGTTTTCCTAATATGTATATCACAGACTCAAGTATCCACAGGAATAACCTACTTTTTAACAATACTGGAATCTTGTTACCCACAATTGTATGGCCATTAAATATAGCATGGCAGTCAGTTGGGTTATTCCTCATCCTCTACCGTATTCTGTAAGAAATGAATCAAGAAGCCAGAATTCTCCTTAAAATTCCACATGTAACCGTTTCTGATCCAACTTTCTGGTTTCCTTTCAGCCTCATATGATTCCAGTCTGAAGGCCGAAACAATAATTCTCATAAATGGTTGGCAGCTGACAATTATTTGTATAAAGTTCAATTAAGGATCACCCACTTGACAAGGGAGACATGTTGTATTTATCTGTTTTCTTCTCAATTTTTCAGCTGCTTTAACTCCCTATACCTGCTACATGCCAGTGGTTATCTGAGGGAAGGGCATGAATTCTAGAGTGTAGTTTGGAGTATTTAATGAATAGTTGAATTGGGCTGATTCTTTTTTTTTTTCCTTTGTTCAAACTAGGATGTCCAAATGGGCACCCCTGTACTATTGGAGAGGTAAGAGCTTTCTTGGATGGCATTTATGCTGTAGTTTTTCTGTTTCGGTTATCTGCCAGTACAGGCAGGTCTCCAAGTTACAAACTTCTGACTTACAAATAACTCATAGTTAAGAATGGGGTGAGTCCACAAAAAGTGAGATAATTCTACCCTTGGAAGGTAAATTCACTCATGGAGGAGTTATTATGGGTAAAAGGTGTCTCCACTGAAGCATTATCACCAATCCTTGTTTCCACAACAAGCCATTTTTTTCAGAATCCATTTATCACAGGGACAGAAAGTGAGGTGAAATCTCCTGATCAGGGGCGCAGACAGCCAAACGAACACCACAGGAATGTTAACCCTTCCCTATGGTATCCAAAGCATATATATATGATGTGTTTGTGTATATATGGACTTACACTCAAGAAATGTACCAGTTCCAACTTACATACAAATTCCACTTAAGAACAGACCTACAAAACCTATCTTGTTCGTAACTTGTGAACTGTATTATATTGGGCTTGAAATGGCCTTACAAAAATGTGTAAGACTTCTTTCATTTTCAGTGTGGCCAGCCTATGGAACGGAGTCGTTGCGTCGACTGTGGTGCTGTAATCGGAGGTGACAACCACAAGGCTGTAAAAGACTTTCACAGAGCACAGTATGTTCTTACTTCAAACTCTTGGAAAGTTGAAAGAAATATTTTACAAGAACTGTTTTCTGTGGCACCCCCCCCCCCCCCCCAATATGCATGTGTGAATGAAGACACATGGTACTAATTCATCCCAACAGTTTGGGACGTGGAGTTGATACAGAGGTGCTAAGTAAATCTGTTCAGCATTTTCACTGACAAATTTTAGAAACATAGGAGAAAGCAACTTTATGCTAGACTTCTGCTGTGAACTGATACCCCTTTTCTAAGATTGCTTTATGTTTTGATTTTTATGAAGGGGCCTTTAGAAATAATAGTAGTATTTTAATGTTATGTAACAATTGAAAAGTATCCAATACATATGAGCCAAGGTTACATCCACTGAGATTGTATCAACCACGACGGCATCCAACCTGGAATGAATCTGAGTGACTATATTTGCAAAGTGACATGCAAGTTCTTCACAGTCGGCTGTTGAGTGGTTTGCATTTTCCCCATGATGACCAGTATGCAGTAGTTCTCTGATCACTCAAAACAGCCCTGCTGGACAAATACAGTGGTGGCAGCAAAAGTTACTTCTTTCCTACACAGATTGCTGCAGAATAGGCCTTCAAGTAAGCTCTAGCCCATTTTCAGTAGGATTCACTCAAAGTCTTAACACCAAATTTAGTCTCCATCTCATTTGCTTTATCACCACCAGTTCGCTGGGAAGCTAGGGGGCTGGTTTGTAAGAGGAGCCACTCAGGAGCAATTGTGTCTACTGTACTGACCATTTACACATTCAAAAGGCCAGTGAGACTTTCAACAGCAGCACCTGCTGAGATGAGAGAAAAATCCCCTAGCGCCATCAAGAATCCTGACCCATCAGCCTCCTGGGGCAAACCATTTTACTCAGTCCTCCACTCCTGTGGAACTTCTGAATCTTAATGAGTCTAAACCTGATCAGGTATATGACAACTGAATTGTGGAAAATTCCTTAACATGAGGAGTACCGGTCACCACTTCGACCACCTACAGTTGTTATGGAGACCATAAAGTCCCGAGCCGTTCATGACAGGCCAGTCTCAGTATGGATGTTGTAGTCTCCCAGCACTACTAGCTGCTGAGACACTAATACCAACCCTGACTAGCTCAGGAAAGGACTGTTGAGAAGCAGGGTGGGCAGTATACCAACAGAATCGATTCCATGTCCATCTTTAGATATACACACTCAACCCCTGCAGATTGTGGGGTGGAATCAGGGGGATAGAATCATGATAGACTATTACAACACAGCCTTCCTACCTCCAGATCTCACCTGCTGCTGTGTTGAAAAACCTGGCAGGCAGAATTGAAAGAGATTGTCCCCCAACCGGTCTCATCCAACGAGATCTATGTAATACAGGCTAGGTCAGCATATGCATCTAAACAAATCCTGAATGATATGTGTTTTCCCATTTGCTTACCTGCCCATCGGTAGCGGTTCTTTCAAGTCGTTGAGACTGTCACCCAGACAATCCAAGCTATTTGCTCTAGGAGAGAGGAATGATGAGCACCCTGTTTTGCTCCCCATTTCAGTGGAAGTGCCATTGTCTCCTCCCTACATCAGTATTTTTAAGAAGAAGGTTTTTAAGATCAAGCTACGGGTTGCTGTAGTTTTTTAGCTTTGAGTATGTTTTTATGGATTTTAACTGATTTTTTAAAAAAATACCATTGATGTTTAATTCTGTTTTAATGTTTATATATTTGTAGATTTTAAATTGTGTTGAAATGCTTTTAATGTAAGCTGCTTTAATTCTCCTTGTGGAGAGAAAAGGTGGGGTATAAATGAACATAATAATAATCATAATAACTCTTCTTCCCTTCAGCTTCTTGGTGACATTCTCTCTGTTGCACTATGGCAACTCTGAGGCTGTCCAAAATGAGATGGCATTTGCTGGGTGATTGTATGTAAGAATCAGAAAAGTCTTTTATGTATTTAGCAAGTGCACATGGTCACTGTGTATTATTCTGTGCAGGATTACAGAGGACAGAACACAAACTGGCCATGTGCTTGGAGATCCTACAAAAAGAGATGCTAAAATGCCATTTGACAGGGAGATGCCTCCAGTCGTCTTAATTCTAATTCGTTTCCTCACTCATTTGGCACTGCTTTTAGGAGCAACAAAAGATCCCATGGTATGTTTCAAAGATATTTTCAGTCATATCATTCTTCTGGAAAAGTATGGCAGAGTGATAATTGAAGAAATCTTGTCTGAAGTAGAGCTGCTTTAAAAAGTATATTTCCTAGCAGTATTATCTAAAGGAGATGATAGTGGTTACAAACCATGTAGACCAGTGTAGCAGTCATGGATCGATTAATATTTGAGACATAATATCTGTGGAGTTGATGGAATTCTATTTACTTCAGCTATTTTAGTGAATAATAGACATGTCTTTATCTTAGATAAGATCAAGTAACAGGTTGTCCAAAGATGATTGATGGCTACTTTGCATGTCTTGTAACAGAAATACATATTTGTTATTCTGACTCTTCTGTTTTCGAAGTCTCTACTGGGCATCATAAAGCCACCTGTTGAAGATCCTGTGGGCTTTTTTTTGCAACATATTCATAAGGATTTGGAACAACTGATGAACACGCTTGGGAAAAGTGCAGATGAAACTAATAATGTCATCCATCTTATTCTGAATAGTCTACTCAAGGAGCACGCAGGCCAGTGTAAGTAAACCATGTCAAATGTTTCTGTTCCTATTTCCTGAAAATACCCTGTAAAATTCATAACATAGACACATACTTTGAAGGTGATGGTAGTAGTAGTGGGAGAGAACACCAAGGTGTAGTCATTAAGATCTAAAACCCCTACTCTACCATCTGAATTGGAAAGGAGCATGGACAAGTGGGCAGAAACCAAGATTTCCCTCAGACTAATGGCGGGACAATGATTATAATTTGGGGAAAAAACCCATGAACAAATTCCTATGCACACTTATTTGTAGGGCAAAAACAAAACCATGAAAGAATATAATACTTAAAATGAAGAACAATATTAACCAACATAAACTTACCAGTATTTCATTGGGAGGTATGAGTCTCCTTTTGGCTGATGAGACAGTCAAGTTAATTAGAATTATTGTTGTCTGCCTTCAGATCGTTTCAGACGTAGGAGGACCCTAAGTCTAAAGTTTAGGGTGGGGGCTGAGTACATGACCTTGGAGGGATTCATCCGGCCTGTGGGACTTAGTTTGGGGACCCCTATTATAAAGAGTAAGCTATTGTGAAAAGCAACTGGGCTTGTTATGGTTTTCATCTTTTCTGTTTTGCCTATTTTGGGTTCCTGCTTTCTTTTTAATCCTATATATCTATGCATCAGTACTGATACGTTTTTCTCTATGTATATTACTATTATTAGCACTGCAGTTTAAAATAAAACAGTTACTTTTATAGCTGTCACTACAGCTTACTCCGAAAGGAGTAGGCACATTGGGCAGTATGTAAAAATCGAAGTAAATTGAGATTTAACAAACTCATGCAAAATCCAGAAAAGGGCAATACAATATTGCCCGCTTTCTCAGCTACTATTTTTCCTCTCAATGGAAATTTTGATGAGAAATATTGGAGAAAAACAGGATTTTAAAAGATTATGGATACAAGGTGAAATGAATAAAATAAAGGCATTGATAGATTTGATGATACTTGAAAGACCGCTTGAATACTAAACAAGGATTATTGAAAATACTAGAGGAAAATGGAAAAGTGCAGGATTCAAAATTAACAAGAAACAAAGACAATAACTGAAAACAGGAAAGGGAAAAGGGTAATATCAAATATCAGGATTTGTAACAGGGAACAAAGTGAAACATCTAGATATTAAAATTTCAGATAAAAATCAGCTTATGGAATGAGAAAGCTGAAATAAATGCAGATTTTGCAAAACAGTATGTCATGAGAGCTTTATTGAGAATTTGGGGTAATTATAAGTCCAGATTATGTCATAAAACTGCCATCAATACATGAAGGATTTTACCAAATTGAAATAATAAAAGATAGTTAATATGTCAAGATTTAATTAAATGTGAAAATGGCCAATCTAGATCCCAAACAAGGGAAGAGCTGATGGAAGATGGAAAAAGGCAATTGAAGGACTAGTATTTATGTTACCCAATAATTTTGAAGAGAATGTTTATAAAATGATGTTTTAATGACATTTAACCATTCCAAAACTATCAAAATGTATAAAGGAGCAAATCACAAATGTTGGAAATGTGAAGTGCATGAGGGGTCCTACTAACATATGTGATGGACTTGTGAAAATGGCAGCATAATTGAAAACAAATTCATGGAGTAGTCCAAGAAATGTGTAAAATAAACATCAGCTTCAAGACAGAACTCTTATTGCTAGAACAGTTGGATAATCAAATGGAAAAGGATCAAGAGAGGATACTGTAGTATATGCTAACAGTGACAAAAATTCTATTCTCAATGATGGAAAAAGATTGAAATACCAACTGCAGAAGATTGGATAGTGAAGATGTTAGAGCTAATGAACAAACTAACAACTCTGTTGAAGTAGAAATTTCTAAGACATATTTTTAATGAATATTATCTGAGGTAGAGAAAAATACATTCTACACTGGTTTGAAGATATAAACTGTTGCTATATTTATTTGTTAATGTAAAAACGAGCAGAAGTAAATAACTTGATGGATATACGTTGAGGAAAATGTTGAAACCAACAAAGGGGAAGCAGGAAATCCTCCTTTGAAACAAATGTATGTGTATATGTTTTATTCTGGATTTATTTTTAGTTAAATATTATTATATTTATTTATACCCCCCTTTATCTCTCCTGAAGGAGACTCAAAGCACTTAACATAAAATGTTATTTATTTATTTATTTATTTATTTATTTACTTACTTACTTACTGCATTTCTATACCACTTTTCTCACCCCTGGGGGGGACTCAAAGAGGTTTACAACATAATGGCAAAATTTAATGTCTCACATATATGTAAAAATACGTCACATATCTAAGAATAGCATATAACTGTGGATTAAAACCTTTAAAACTATAAAACATCAGACATAGACATTGACATGAAACATTAGACATTGCATTAGTTCCAAGGTTGTCATTTAACTACTTCATTATTGCTGTCACTCAACAAATGCTTGCTTGAATAGCCAAGTTTTAAGTTGTTTTCTAAATGCCAGGAGGGAGAGGGATGATTTAATATCACTGGGGAAGGAGTTCCACAGCTGAGGGATCACCACTGAGTCGGCCCTGTCTCTCGTTCCCACCAATCGCACCTGTGAGGACAGTGGGACCAAGAGCAGGACCTCCCCAGCCAATCTTAGTGCTCTAATTGTCTCATAAAAGCATCAGCATACAATTTAAGATATACAAATATTAAACCAGGATTAAGTATATTTTTTTAATTCCCAGTTAAGAACCATTAAAACATGTTCAAAGTTTAAAATCCACAGCATCCCCAGACTTGATCTTCAAAATCATTTTCTTTAAAAGTCTGTCTGAATAAACAAGTTTCGGCTTGCTGCCGAAAGGACAGCAGGGAGGGGCCTGTCTGGCTTCCCTGGGAAGAAGGGAGTTCCAGAGTCAAGGGGCAGCCAGCGAGAAGGAAGGTCCGTTCTCTCGTTCCCACCAACCAAGCTTGAGATGGAGGTAGGACAGAGAGAAGGGCCTCTCCTGAAGATCTCAGGGCACAGGCAGGTTCGTACAAGGGGATGCATTCAACCAAATAGCCTGGATCTGAACCATCTAGGGCTTTAAAGGTCATAACCAGCATAGAGATTTTAGTTGATGAGAGAAACTGTTTACTTACGTGAATATTAGAAAATGGTTTATAGGCATTGTTGTGTTTTTATGTTTTTTTCTGATAAAGACATTCTTGTTTTATTTGGATTAAAGGGGGGGGGGACAAGAGTTTTATGTAGGCTTACTAACCTCTCAACTTGTCTTTGCCAGTATTTACGTTTTTATATAAATTTGATATGAGATAAATACTGAATTATAACCTTCAGATGATAAAAACAAAGTGGTTACACTGATATGGATGCACATTCAAAAGCTTTTTTGCAACAAATGAAATACCACAATGCTTAAATACATTTCACAATATGAATTTCATTGAACGGAGTTTGATTCCATGTGTTAGCTTTGGATGGTCAAGAGGGTTTTTTGCACTTGTGTCTCTACACCACGGGATCTACACAGTAGTTTGTACTGCACATTGTTAACCAGTACAGTTTATCTGAAAATTAGATCTTGGACATTCTTTGAAGCACTAAGGCATTAAAGCTGATTACCATATTGTTATATTTTAAGGGATCTTAAGTATTGCCTCACTGGAAGTCAAAGGAATTGTGTAGGTATCCTGGAAGCAGATATAGGTAGAAGGAGCTGGAACATTTCTGCTCGCCATACTAGAAGCAGATAAAAGTTCTGTGACAAACCCTGACAGTTACTGCCACTTCCCATGGCTTCCCCTCTGGATAGACGTATGAAAAGATAAGTCATAAGTAATGCATTATTGAGTTTTTAAAAAATTTCTTTGCAGGGCCAGTACATTTTGATGGTCATCTTTCCACAAAGGAGCAGAGGAATCAATGGGAAGAAATTGTTGCACGCACTATTATTCTTCCTGAACTAAAGGTAAACTAAAGGCAGACCATGGATGACGATGATGATGACAAATTCCTTTCCTAAGACAACTATAAAATATCTGATTACAGCAGAAAAAAATGTGCAGTTTTTAAAAACTTTTCATATAGTACAGGATTCCTTCGCTACTTCGCGGTTCGCTTATTGCTGACTCGCTGTTTCACAGATTTCAAAAAAATTAATTTAAAACATATATCATGGTATTTTCGCTGTTTTGAGGAGTTTTGCCACTGTCTAAGGCACTTTCTGTCCTCAATCCTTCCTCCCTCCACCCTTCAAGGGCCTTTCCTTCTTTTCCTTCACTTTATTTTAAGTTTATAAAGACTTAAAATAGTGTATAACTACTAAAATAATGTATAAATATTAAAATAAATAGAGCATCCCTACATCACGGTTTTTCACTTATTGCAGGAGGTCCTGGAACCTAACCCCAGCAATAAGTGAGAGAACACTGTAATAATATCTTCAACAGTTTACAAACAATAAGTTTTCTGAGAGTCATCTGGAATCTGTCCCTGAAAGGATTTTGTACAATAATATAATGTAATTTATAATAATAACATTCCGGTAGTAATATACTAAATTAGTAATATCTATTAATTTTGGACGGAATTACTAGGTATGTTAGTCACATTTTTTAAAATGTACTGTCTTCTACACTTCAGAAAGGCTGTTGGTGAGTATGTTGAGCCACATGCAAATGATTCAGATATAAGATGATTAGGAATATCGTCCATAAGCCAAATTTCTTGAAGACAAGGCTATCAGTGATTGCAACTTACTCTAGGCATATTGTGCCTCTAAAAAGTCAGTTGCTGGAGGACACAACTGGACAATCTATTTTGTGCTCCTCCTCATGGGCTGTAGGACCGAATGTTGAACTAGATAGTATCTCTTCCAGAAAGATTCTTCTGTGATCTCCAGTCTCACTTCCATTCCATATTAATCATGGGGATCAAGGAATTGAAATTAGCAGGAGACACGAAAGATGTTCCTTAGTGATTGGGTGAGAGGAAGACAAAGTTGCAGTATATTAGTTGCCAGTAGACTGGTTTATCCTCCTGAATCTCCAAAGTGTAGCTATTTTAATATTTATATTAAGAAATAATAGCTATGGAACGTATGGAAGAGAGTTAAAATTTGCAGTTGGATTGAATTGAACCTGCCTTTTGCAATCCTAGCATCTGTGTTCCAGATTACTACAAATAGTAGTCACTTTTCTCAAGGAGTTTTTTATCTACATGGCTCCAGCTAGGGTTCACTTTGTTGGTTTGCCACTACAACAGAATTCCAGAATCAGACATAAAGAACAAGTTGTAGTAAATCATATTCCAGATGGGCTCCAGCATGATGTGACATAAAGAGCTACTTATAGTCTAGCATCCCCCCCCCCCCCCCACAGTTCTTAGGAAATCAGCTTCTTAACTTTTGAAAACCAGAGTGTTTAGAATTCTCAAAGGAAGTATGAAGTTGCTGTCACCAAACAACCATTTCCATACAGCATAAGAGGACTGTATTTGGTATATTTGAAATAGGATGCATTTTCATGGTGACTCTCATATATACTATGCTTTTTCCATGCAGCTTTTGGACAAAACCCTTCTGGAGCTGAATCAACGAATCCATGAGGATGAGAGAATCTCTTCCAACCCAGTAGTGAAAATAATATATGGGGACCCAGTAATTTTCCTGTCCAAGCTGCCCAAGAATAGCATAGTGCATTGTTCCAGGATGTGGAGCTGTAGAAAGAGAATCTCACTTGAGTACTTGGGGCATGTTGTCCAGCAAAAAAGTGACAAGGATGCTGTACCCATCTTGTGGAAGTTTCTACAAAAGGTGGGCATGCCCAAATACTTCATAGTAGCCCTATCTTAGGATATATTGCCCAGGTGTTGGGCAGTGAAAATGTTAAGTACTCTTTATAAGACTGGTCAACACACATTTTGGTGCCCCAGTTGTTAGCCCTGTTTCTGGCTATATTTGATCTTCTGATTCTGAAAATGGCACAAGTTTTCCACCTACCAGCTCTAGTTTTTAAGATTCAGAACATCTACCAGTTGCCATCTGCTCACCCATTAAAAACCATGATAATCATATCTATGAAACTAGAGCTGATGTGGTCTGTCCAATGAATGTCAACAAGGACAAATGTAAAATAGTACATTTAAGCAGAAAAAATGAAATGCAAAGATACAGAATGGGTGAGGCTTGGCTCGTCAACAGTCCATGTGAAAAAGATCTTTGAGTTTTCATGGACAACAAGTTGAATATGAGGCAACAGTGATGCAGCAGCTAATAAAGCTAATGGGATTTTGGGCTGCATCAAAAGTAATGTTTACATCGAGAGAAGTCATTGTGCCTCTCTATTCTGCTTTGGTTAGACCTTGGAATACTGTGTCCAGTTGTGGACACCACAGTTTAAAAGAGATATTGACAAGCTGGAAGGTGTCCAGAGGAGGGCAACAAAAATGATGAAAGCTCTGGAGACCATGCCCTATGGGTATGTTTAGAGGAGAAGGTTGAGAGGAGACATGATCACCATGTATAAATATGTGAAAGGGTTTCATAAGGAAGAGGGAGCAGGGTTGTTTTCTATTGCCCTGGAAAGTAGGACTTGGAGCAATGGGTTCAAATTACCAGAATGGAGATTCCATCTGAACATTAGGACGGAACTTTATGACCATACGAGCTGTTCACAGTGGAACTCTCTGCCTCAGAGAGTGGCAGAAACTCCTTCCTTGGGAACTTTTAAACAGAGGCTGGATGGGCATGTGTCAGGGATTCTTGAGTTGTGCTTTTCTGCATGGCAGGGGATTGGACTAGATGGCTCATGTGGTTTCTTCCAACTCTATTATTCTATGATTCTATGTAATGTGCTGCAACCTATGGGAACCTGTGTATAAATGTTCCAACCGTTTTTTGTTGTTTTGCCTACTGAAAGTAATTTGGCTTCTCTGATTTGCACTATTTGGTTTCTAGGAAGCTGAACTTAGACTGGTGAAGTTTTTGCCAGATATTCTGACTTTGCAGAAGGACTTAGTGAACAGGTTCCAGAACATTCCAGAGGCAGAACATGGGACAATAGGAGAGTTTCTTGGCAGCCTTCCTTCAGGTGAGACCCCACACTGCCCCATAGGTCTAATAAGCAGCCTACAAGCAGCGAGACCAGAAGACCTTAATACTAGGCTGTATGCTTCAAAACCAACATTTTAGAGCAATTGAGGAGTGTGTGGGCTCTGCAAAATGTCTGTGTATCAGCCACTGCAAGACTTAATCTGTTTTCTCCAGGAAACCTTTAGGGTTGTTTAATTCACAATTTTCCATTCTCTTCTACTATCTTGCATCATCAAGGCAAATGTGGCTACTATTTATCTATAAATGGCACAAACTGCAATGAAAACTATACTTTTTGTAGGACCATAGCTTTTAGTGGTAGAACCATTGATATTTTAAAATATCTGCTGCTGAAATGAATGAACAGGATGTACAAAAATTTAATGTTAATCAAATTATATCGAAGTTGATAAAACTGATGTAGCAGTAGGAACAGTCTGCATCAGTTATCATTTGACTAGCAAGCATGGCTTGCTTAAATATTCTTAAACATCCCACAATGCATGAATAATATAGGGAATTTGCTGCAGTGAGTTACAAAGATGATTCCAGTGTCTTTGATTAGATGCATTCATTCTGGATAGATCTATCTGAATGTTTGGCATCCTAGCCTGAAACAGTGCCTTTGTCTCATCATAAGTGTACATACATACATACATACATACATATGTTTTATTGATTAACCCATCGGCCGCATCAAAACATTTAACCAACACATTTAACACATACAACATACATTACAATCAAAGTTCAAATAAGCAAGCTGTTAACAAGGTCCTGATCCAGATCAAATATCTGCATCACCTCTATAGTTTACCCCAATCAACTCTAAATATGTAGTTCTCAGCTGTGTTGCTTGCTTTACATAAGTGTATGTGATTGGCTACTTTGGGAAACTAGATCAGATCTTGATCAGCTACAGCAGGGCTGCTTTTACATTGTAACTTTTTGGACCAGAACTTTCTCTTGTGAAGAGGGCGGGGAGTGGAGCTGCTTTTAAGAGGAACAACACAACTTTCCCATATTGAATGTACTTTATGGTATTGGCAGGAGGCATGAGGCATACTCTGGGAAGCAGGGTGAAAACATTTCTGGATGTGTGGAATAAGCTGAGATCATCCTTGGAAACCAATGGTGAGTATTCTATTTACACCACAATTCAACAGTAAGATTAGTATCACCCTATGGAAGACTAATTCTTTATATTTCTGCTGGGCCTCTCCCTCCCTATTATTATTATTTTATTCTTCGCTACCACAGCCTAAAAGTGAGACATGGTGTGTGTGTGTGTGTTTGCGTTCTCTTCTTTTCCAGCACTGGCTCCTCTTTCATGTTCAAGATTAATTGGCACAGCACAATGTGTTGCACTCCTTTGTCTTGAATGTCCTAGTCTTCCAATTCTCACTAGAAACATGTAATAGTCTACAATACGACATCAATTAATGCTTTAACGGGAAATGCTTTAACAGGAAAGTAGGGATATCTACCAGTGGCTTTGGGTCTGCTGTTCAGAGTTGTTTTGTTGCCACACTGCAGGTGAAATTAAACTTCCCAAAGGATATTGTGAGGCTGACCTGACTTTGGAGAACGAACTTGAGATCCTTTTGCCTCGCCGGCGAGGTCTAGGACTGTGTTCCACAGCCTTGGCCAGTTACCTCATTGCTCTACACAATGACTTTGTCTATACCACAGAGAAATACACAACAGATGCCAACAGGTATGTTCTGCATTTTCCAAAATCCCTGTTTACTGTAGCTGGCAGTGAGTCTTGTTGGTGCTAAAACAGACTTGCTCCTTCTCCTTTCCTTCCCTTCCCAACAGGTACTCAGTGAGCCCTGCAGAAGTGGCAGATCTCCATGTGATCACTTACGAGGTAGAGAGGGACTTGATGCCACTGATTCTGTCAAACTGCCACTATAGCATGGAGAAAGGAGGAGAGGCCATCCAGGAGTTTGACCTGGAAAAGATCCAGCAGCAGGTCATCAGCCGATTCCTACAGGGGAAGCCCTTGATCACGCTGACAGTATGTATCACAGAAGCCTAATGTTGTTTCTTACCTCCTGCTTTGCTGAGAGATCCGACTCCCAACTCACAGGCCACCACTTTTTTTCTGTTGTAGGGCCTTCCCACTCTTGTGTACAGGCATGACCGAAATTATGAGCATCTCTTCAAAGATATCAAGAGCAAGCTGACCCAGGTGAGGACAGAAAAAATTCCAGAAAGTGGTTGGACTTGTTTCCTGATCAACCCTGTTCAAATTGGGATCAGCTCCATACTGCTCACTGATAAGTGTCATCCTGTGGCTCTTTCCTTAATGATTTAGGTGTGTGCAAAGTGCCCGTGGATTTTAACCCTGCAGATAGCACTCTATAACCTCCCCTTCTTATGTAGAACAGGAGTGGGATGTAGAGACTGAGCATAATGTTAAGAGAGTATTTGCTATGAAGGCCTATTGGCTACATCGTTGTTTAATCGTAGACACAAGTCTTCTCTTTACAACAAAGGGCAGAAGTGATTAAAGTTGATGCGTTCGTTTTTTCATCCCTTTGAATTACAGAGCTACCTTCCAAAATCTACAAGTAGCATGCTCATTGGGGAGTTGCAAGCCTACAGTGACATCTGTGAAGCCCTGTCTGTCACTGAAATAACTTTAGGTTTCTTGGCTATGGCTGGAGGTGACCCAGAGATGACTTTAACAGGCTATGTTGAAAACACGTTGCAGATGAGCAGTCAGACAAGTGCTCATGTGCTCAAGGTGAGTGCAAGAGGATCAGAGTCTCAATTCAAGTGGGTCAGGATAAAGCTGCAAGTTTCTCACAGGCCAAGGATAGTAACTGGCTTCCCCATTGCAAGCACTCTCTTCATCACATTGTTTCTCACATTGGTGAGTCTCCCATAGCTGTTCTGTGTTTCCCATGTACCTGGAGGGTTGCTAGAGCACCATGTAACTGTGGTCTGAGTTGTAGTTCAGGCCTCTTATGTTCATTTCATCTTGCATTTTTTAAATCTCCTTCTATTACAAACCACCTGGAATTCTCCAACTAGCTAAAAATGTTCCACATATATCAGTACTGTGCTGATTCAAGGCACTTACGTCTCAGAGGTGGGCACAACTCGGGACCTTGTGAAAAATGGGTCAGAGGCAATCTGTAGTGGGAAACCACCTGCAATGCAGCCATTGAGATACAGTAAGGTTACTTGTACTATGAGTTCCCTAGCAGGATAGATTAAGGAGAGCTCTTTTTCACATTCATGGCCATGGGAAGGGAGGGGAGGGGAGGAAGGAAGGTCAGTGGAGACTTTAGGGAATATAAAAATACATAAAGATAATGTTTTGATTTAAAAATTATATGGTCCATGGAACTGACCCCAGGAAGCAGTCCAGAGTGTCCACATTGGTCTAGTGAGATCTTTCCTTATTTCCATCTTTATCACTTCTGTTCCCAATAGACTTTTTTTTTAAAGAAGTAAGCTTCTATATCTTTCTCTTTCAGGCACTGAGTCGGTGTCAGCTGAAGCACTCCATTGCACTGTGGCAGCTCCTTTCTAGCCATAAATCTGAGCAGCTGTTGTGTTTGAAAAGGGTAGGAAACTGTGAGCGGGTGGTCATATAAGGTGGGATTTCTTCCACTGTTCTGTTTTCCTCCTCTAACGGTGCCACTCTCTGTACCTTCCAGGATCCCTTTGTGGAGATCAGCATATCCTACAAAGCTGAACTTGCTGCAGAAAACACCAAACTCCTCAATGCCTTCCTCATCCAGTTTGGGTTGGAATCCTTCCTCCAAGAGTTGCATGAAATGATCATCCTGAAGCTCAAATATGATCAAGCCATAGAAGAATTCAGACCCACATGGAGGTAAGAGCCTCCAGAGCTCTGTATAGGTTTCTTACCGGCTTATTATCCTATTAAACTCCAACTAGTCCAGCGAGAAGCAGCCAGATTGCTCACCGGAGCAGCGTACAGGGAGCATACCACCCCCCTGTTGCGTCAGCTCCACTGGCTGCCGATCCAATTCCGAGCACAATTCAAAGTGCTGGTTTTGACCTACAAAACCCTATACGGTTCCGGCCCAGTGTATTTGTCCGAACGGATCTCCCTCTACATCCCACCTCGTAGTTTAAGATCTTCTGGGGAGGCCCTGCTCTCGACCCCGCCATTGTCACAAGTGAGGCTGGCGGGGACGAGGAGCAAGGCCTTCTCAGTGGTGGCCCCCCACCTGTGGAACTCACTCCCCGGGGAGATCAGATCGGCGACTTCCCTCCTAGCGTTTAGGAAAAAACTGAAGACCTGGTTGTGGGACCAAGCTTTTGGTCATTCTGACAACTAACTTAAGGACCTGACAATAGACGAGAACAAATGGAATGGAATGGATATACGGACTCTGTTATATGGACTCTGACATGAGATTGTTTTATTATTTTATTATGTATTGATGTTTTAATTTGACTGTTGAATTGTTGTATTTGTATTGTTTATTGTGTGATTTAGGCATCTAATTGTGCCTTCCCTGTAAGCCGCCCTGAGTCCCCCTCGGGGTGAGAAGGGCGGGGTATAAGTAAGCGAAATAAATAAATAAATAAATAAATAAATATTACTTTCCAGAACTAGGTTCTCTACTGCCAGTGAAGTACACCTTCTTCATCCAGTGATTCAGCAAAAAAAAAAAAAAAAGCTATTTATATGCCTTCTGAGTCTCCCTAACTTTATTTTCCAGCCTCAAGGATACCTTGATTCCATACCTGGAAGGCAAAGAGAGCATCACCCTCGCGGATGAACTGGAGACATTCCCGGAAGAGATCCTGCTCTGCCACTGCGTTGCTGCCTGGAAAGTGGCTGCTGCTCTTAAAAGAGATCGAAGGCTTGATTAGTGGAGCACAACCCTTGGGCAGAGGCTGCCCTCCCACTTTTTCCAAAATGATCAGGAAAGGGGTTGCAGGATTCTTTTTCAAGCTCCAAGCACAATACAAACACACACACACACACACACACACACACACACACACACACACACACACACACACACATATATATATATATATATATAAATACTATGAGGCCAAAAAAAATATAGTAGTATTCCACTGTGTAAGAAAAAACAGTGACATACAAACAGAATTTTTCCCTTAAAAAGAGGGTTTTCTTTTTTAAATTTAAGATACAATTCTTTAAATATGCATGTCAAATATCAACTACATTTGAACTAATAAAGCCTTTCTGATAGCACCCTTGAACAACCATGGAATAGTAAAACTGGGTGTAGTTTACAGGACAGGTCTGAAGTGATGTAATGCCTTACTAAGATGTTTCCTGCTCCTTGAGCTCCTTTAGCTGGGCAAGAAACAAAGCACTGTTTTCTTAACTCAGGTTTTCTAGTTTTCCTAAATGCTACCAAAACTGCCTTCTGTTTATCAGGGACAACATTTTTTCCAATTTTTTCCCCTTGCCATCTGTTTCTCTGACATCTGAACAAGGCACATTGAGAGCTCAGTAATTGAATTTGGTCAGGCCACTTCTGCAAATACAATTCAGCACATGCCTCAAACCTGTGAACTGGATTGCCTCCTCGCCTTTTTTTTCCCTATAAGGTGATGCATTGGGTTTGTCTCTAGTCTACTGCCCTGCCTTTTTTGTTTTCTTATGTGAAATCAGACACTCTTTCTTACATTTACATTGAGTTTTGAAATGATATTATCAAGAGACTGGTTTTCTATATTCACAACCTGACCAAGAGGCTGGACTCCTACTAGGTTCTGTTAACACAATTTTGTATTATATTTGGCTCACTGATGCATTTATGATTTGTATTAAGGTTTTTTTTATAAGTGGAGTGCCATGGATTGACTTATTAGGATTTTTTTTAAAGAGCAATTACATTCTTTGAGTATCTTGTGAAAAGAAAAGGACTGGCAGCAAGTGTTGAGGAAAATAATATTTAAACCTCTGAACTACTGCTCTGGTTAACAATATGAAGGATCCTTTATTCCTGTTCAAGACCAATGTCTATATTATTGCCATTGTTAAATATGTTTACTAAAATATTTTTTTATAATTATTCTCTCAGGGTAATGGCAATGTGGAATGTAAAAATTCAGCTGTTTCGTTAAACATGACTTTGCCTAACCATGTTTTGCTGTTGCTCTATTTGTGTATGCTGTAGAAATAAAAAGTGTATGAGTAAGTAGCTATACCATGTACACTGCTTTCAGTGCACTGAGTTTTCTTAAGGGCTAGAACAGCATTGAGGTTTTTCCAAGTAAAAGCCAAAATTTACTGGCAATCTCCTTTGGATACCAAATTCACCCTGAGTGTGTATTCCAAACAATTTTCAGCTCATTTTGCACTAACACATTAATGCCTCAGAAGTTGTGCATCTGTAGCAGGGTCGTCTACCATGAAAGCATTCATAATGCAACAGATAATGCAACAGTGAGTGATTCACTCCCACTCATCCTCTTGGATTATGCATTTACTGTAATACCATTTGAACTAAGATTGCAGCTTGCTATATCGACATAATAGTGTATCTTAGTCTACCAGTATGTCAGCTTAAAAACTATGTTTAACAAATGTGTCAGAATATATTTTTATTTTTTTCTTCTTTAAATAAAAATTGTTGCTGCCAAAGATTTACATTGTTGTGTCTTCAGATTGTTCATACATTTTGATGAGAGTAAATATTGGTATAATGAACTTGGGTTGGGAAAATCGTTCATATTTAGAGGAGTATTTATTTGTCCTTCCCTTTTGTGGGTTGTGATTTTTTACAATTCCATAATCAATGCTGGTAGACTTCAGAAATTTTATGACAAGCTTTTCTCCATAAAAAGCTTGCTTTCAACTTATCATTTGTTCTGCTCAGTAGTACTATGTGAACATCATTTATGAGATAACAGCTTCACTTATGGTTCCCAAATTTGGGCCATGCAGATGCTGTAAACCTTTCATTTCTGAGAAGCCCCAGTTGCTGTGGGCAGTAGACAGGAATTCTGTGTTACAAAAACATCTAGAGGACCAACCAGAACAATTCTGTACCCTAGGGGAGATAGGGCAGAATATATTATTATTATTATTATTATTATTATTATTATTATTATTATTATTATTATTATTATGTGCAGAGACTAGTTTTTGAAGACATTGATATTAAATCTAGGGTCTCAGTATTGTAAGGCAAGTCTCCTTATACCCTAAGGTATAAGGATATGAGGATATTCTGCCTACTGTACTCACAGCAAAATATATAACATGTGGCCCATTGACACTGTGATATAATGCAATTTGAAACTGCATTATATGGTCAGCGTAGATATGGTGATGGATGGTATTAGAGTAGTGGTTCTCAACCTTTTTTTTTAACCAGGGACCACTTTGACCAGGGACCACTCCCCAACAGTAATACCAAAAGGGTTACGAATCAGTTTTTGGTCAACTTTAGATTTGGTTTGGTTCTTTGGCGTGCTGATTCAGAAAATTATTGGATAGACCACATCAGTTCTAGTTGCTGGTACAGAGCATATGCAATCCAGTAGTCACCATCTGCTTGCCCACAGAAAACCATATTTAATAAGCCTTGCCACTATAAGAGGGTTTTGCAAGACCAGTTGCTCCTGTTGCAATGGTGTAACGGTGAGGCCACGGACCATATTTTAGTTCTTGCAGACCACTGATGGGCCACGGACCACAGGGTTGGGAACCACTGTATTGAGTGATGAGAACCTGCCAAACCTAAATGCCAACTCTATCCCCACATCTACTCTGGAGGCAATATATTGCAGGGGCCAATAATTTCAATCTGGCAGTATGGATATATTTATTTGCCCTTCTTCCAAAGTGATATATGTCAGGAATGCCTCCCTACGCTCTACATTGGACAAACAGGACAGTCTAGATTTGTGTAATTAAATGGACACAAATCTTAAGTTACAAATGTCAACAATCAAAATTCAGTTGCAGAACATTTCAATCATCCTGGACACACATGAAGTGATTTACAGTTTGCAGTCCTTAAACAAGGAAATTATAAAGGAAGATTAAAAAAAACCTCCTGAAATAAAATTGTAATTACAAATTCCAGGCCTCGTAAGACTGCAACTCCAGGATTGCTTTATGAGTTTTATTGTTGTATTTGTTATGCTGTTGTTTTATTGAGGCCTTGGCCTTTGTAAGCCACACCGAGTCCTTCGGGAGATGTTAGCTGGGTATAAATAAAGTTAATAATAATAATAATAATAATAATAATAATAATAATAATTTCCATAGCAGTGAACAAAATTACAGTAGTCTCTCTTATCCAACATAAACAGGCTGGCAAAAAGTTGGATAAACAAAAATGTTGGATAATAAGGAGGGATTAAAAGCCTACTAACCATAAAATTACATTATGATTTTACAAATTAAGCACCAAAACATCATGTTTTACAACAAGCCGACAGAAAATGCAGTTCAATAACACGCTAACATTATGTAGTGATTACGGTATTTACGAATTTAGCACCAAAACATCACAATGCATTGAAACAGCTGTGGATTCGACAGGAAGCAGACTGTTGGATAATACAGAATGTTGGATGAGCAAAGGTTGGATAAGCGAGACTCTACTGTATCATCAAAGACAGTGTCTTTATGTCACGCTTTAGATATTTATATGAGAGTTCTTGCTACAACACTAACAGTAATAGTAACATTTATTTATTACCGTTCTCCTTTTGGCTTGAGGTGGGGCAAAACATAGTCAAACACATCTGTGAAATCACAAAAAAACATAATTAAAATGCAACCATAAAAGCATGTTGAAACACACTTGTTCAAAATACACGAGACAAAAGTAAAAACACCATAAACAGTGTGATTTAAAAGTCATAGATACAGTTGACTCACAAAAGGAATCTCAGAGCTTTGAATCCTGGGAAACTGATGCTCATATCTGCTTTGAACTGGAATATATGGCAGTGTGGACTCAGATAGCTCAGTGCAAAGCAGATGTTGTAGGACTTTCTGCCTTGATATTCTGGGTTATATAGCTGTGTGGAAGAGCTTTCACAAGTCAGCACTGATTGCCCACTACAAAAATGCATCATGCTCCCCTTCAAACGTGGAAAGCAAGGGTCAATTTTTTTTTGCATATTTCTGGATCTTATTCCATGCCACCCCTCCCCCACAACTGTATGAATGTGCTTTCTACCTGAGTGAGCATTTGGTTTCACTCCGGGCCCTTCCACACAGCCCCACATCCCAGAATATCAAGACAGAAAATCCCCCAATATTTGCTTTGAACTGGGTTATCTGAATTCACACTCAGATAACGTGGGGTTGCCTGCCTTGATATTCTGGAATATGGGGCTGTGTGGAAAGGCTCTCAGTGTGACATCCAAAGAAGTGGCTTTACATCCATAAAAGCTCAAGCAAAAATGAAAACCTGTTTGCCTTTTTCTTCCTCCTCCTTTCATCCTCCTCTCAATAAAGCTGATCAATACCAGCTTTCTTTATCATTTCATCAACTAATCCATTATCTGAGGTGGTGAAAATGGATCAATACCAACTTAGAGTGAACTTTCATGGTGAGTGTCCAATGAGTTATTCCACCTCTGGTTGGGCGGCCACATGAGTGTAAACTGGGCATGGGCCAACTTTGGTCCTCTAGTTGTTTTGGTTTTCTACTCCCACAATTCTTAACAGCCTACTGGCTGGGTTGCTATGTATTTACCAAGATACATGGCCATGTTCCAGAAGCATTCTCTCCTGATGTTTTGTCCACATCTATGGCAGGCATCCTCAGAGGTTGAGGAGTTTGTTGGAAACTAGGCAAGTGGGGTTTCTATATCTGGAATAATGTCAAGGGTGGGAGACAGAACTCTTGTCTGTTGGGGGCAAGTGTGAAAGTTGTAAATGGCCACCTTGATTAGCATTTAATGACCTTTCAGCTTCAAGGCCTAGCTGCTGACTGTCCAGGGGAATCCTTTGTTGGGAGGTAGGTAATAGTATGATAGCTGGTCCAGAAGCTCTGAGTGTTATGCTGTTGCCACTTTGCTCCTTCGGGAGTGCTGTTTGCACAACACAGAATTTAACACGTGTCGGAATGTAAGAGTTCGTTAATGGTAAAACCCTAACCCTAACCCTTACGCTAAACCAGGGGTCCACAAACTTTTTCAACAGAGGGCCAGGTCACAGCCCCTCAAACTGTTGGGAGGGCCAGATTATAATTTGAAAAAAAGCACAGATGAATTCCTATACACACTGCACATATCTTATTTGTAATGCAACAAACACTTAAAAACAATTAAAATGAAGAACAATTTAAAGAAATATAAACTTAATAGTATTTCAATGAAAAGTGTGGGCCTGCTTTTGGCTGATGAGATAGGATTGTTGTTGTTGTTGTGTGCTTTCACACTTAGGTTGACCCTGAGCAAGGGCCAGGTAAATGACCTTGGAGGGCCGTATCCGGCCCCTGGGCCTTAGTTTGAGGACCCCTGCCCTAAACYTTACCCTAACACAAACTCTAACCCTAAAGCTTAAGCTTACCCTARCCCTTTCCCTAAACCTTATCYTAACTCTTCCCCCCTTTCCTTCCTTCCACCAAATGCAGCTACAAAGTATATTCCCGCCCTCAGTGTGCTGCCGCTCTCCCTTATTCACTGCCGCCATTACGGAATGTGCGTAGCGCTCGGCACTTCTGGACCCATTTATCATACTATCACCGGGACTGCCACCTTGGAATGTTGTGATTCTTCTTGCCTGGCAATAAGGTTATGCTTTGGTCCTACACAGAGACTACAAGTCTTTTAAAAGAGAAGGTTAAAGGGCTGGAAGCAACAGAACCAATCAACACTATTAGGGRAAAAAATTCTTTGAGAGTAACAAGCATAACACAGCTCCTGGAAAGGAACATTTTGAGCTAACACAGGTTCTCTTTTGATCATTCTTGAGATACCATTAGGTCTGGTTTCAGACAGAATTGCTTAAAGGACATAGTACAGTCTGCACACATTTTGGAGTGGAGAACATTTCCTGCTCAGCTCATGTGATGCTACTGCCAGTGGTAAATCAGTGCTCCAGAGAAGAAGTTGCTATTCAAGGATAATAGTATATCCAGACAAAACCGGATTTGTCTGTGGGAACCAATGAAAATGTATATTCCATTTACTACCAAAGTGATAAAAACTCTGCCGCCCCATTGGGGGTTGCGACAAACCCTTTCATTGCATTCCTGTATGCTTGTTTGACGTTATTGCTATGGCCACTCAATAAATAGTTTTTTGCAGTTTAAAAGATTCAACTTTTGTGGTGTCCTCCCTCACCCTCCCTATTAGAAAGGGGGCTCCTTCTTTTGGGGGAAATATTTTGGTTTCTTTGCCCCTGCACAATGATGAAGTATATTCCCACCCTCAGTGTGCCGTTCTCCTTTATTCACAACCACTGTTGCGGAATGTGTGTAGTGCTTGGCGCTTCCGGGCCCATTTATCATACTATCACCGGGAGGTGTTAGCTGGGCCGGATTGATTCTTGTCTGGCATTCCACTGCTTTTTGAGGTATTGCTCTTTATTTATTGTTCTGATTTTTTCACTGTTTCATCAGTTTTGTCACTGTTGATTGTTTATTGCTTATTTTGTTATGTTTTATATGAATTGTATTGTATTGACTATTGTATTGTATTGATGTTTTTGTTTTTTGATGTATTGTGGGCTTGGCCTCATGTAAGCCGCACTGAGTCCCTTGGGGAGATGGTATCGAGGTACAAGTATTATTATTATTATTATTATTAAATACTGGTAGCCAGATTGTGTTCCTCTTTATGGTTTCCTCCTTTCTGTTGAAATTGCCCACATGCCTGTGGATTTCAATGGCTTCTCTGTGTAGTCTGATACGTGGATGTTGTTTTGCACTTCAACTCCTAGAAATTCCAAGCAATTTACCAGCTGTTAGGATTGGTGGATGCTGGAGTCCAAAACGCCTAGGAGGGCCAAAGTTTGCCCATGCCTTGCGCCTAGCTGCTAGCACAGTGGTGCTCAACCTGTGAGTCCTCAGATGTTTTGGTCTTCAACTCCCAGAAAATCCTAACAGCTGGTAAACTGGCTGGGGCTTCTGGGAGTTGCCAAAACACCTGGCAACCCATAGGCTGAGAAGCACTGTGCTCGCAAGTGCGGCCCTTGGTTCTCCTCTCCTCGGCGTGCCCGATCTGTGCGGAAGAGGAGGAGGGAAAGGGCAAGGGCGCCGTGCAGGAAGGAGGAAGAGACCCGGAGCAATGGCTCAGAGTCGAAGCGAGAGCGGGCCGCCGCTGGAGGAAGAAACGCTGCGGGGCTGGGAACGGTACGTTGCAAGGCCCTGCGCCCAAGCCTTCCCCAAAGGCAGGAGCTGGGGCTCTCTGGGGCCCGGGAGGCGCTCTTCCTGCCGCCGGAAGCAAGGCGGGGGCGCGTCGTTTCATTTCAGCAGCGTTAAATCTCTCTCTCTTGCGCCACCCAGGGAGATGCGCCGCCTTGCCCTTTGGCGTCCAAGAGGGGCGCCCTCTCTCGGGTGCAGCCTGCACTGTGGAATTAATGCAGCTTGACACCACTTTGACGCCCAGGCTCAGTGCTATGGAATACTATTATTTTTATCATCATCATCATGATCATCATGTATTACTATTACTATTATTTACTAGGAGCTGGAGTTTCTCACTCTTTGGCAGAGGAGGCTCAAGACCATTTAAGATTGCATCTCCCAGGTTTCCACAGCACTTCCAAGTGTCAGACTACATATAGAAGCCATTGAAACCCACAAGCATGTGGACAATCCCAACAGAAAGGAGGAAGACATGAAAATGAACACAATTCGGCTACCAGTATTAAACAAAAACTCTAAAATCAGGGCAGTAAATAAAGAGCAACACTCCAAAAACAGGGGAACTCCAGACAAGAATCAATCAGGGCCAGGTAACACCTCCCAACAAAGGATCCCCCCCCCCGGCAGCAACCAGCCAAGCTTTGAAGCTGCAAGACTATTCAGTGCTAATCAAGGTGACCAATTGCAAGATTCACACTTGCCTCAAACAGACAAGAGTTCTTTCTCTCACTCTGGTCATTCCATAGATATATAAACCCCACTTGACTAGTTTCCAGCCTCTGCCATAGATATACAAACCTTACTTTTCTAGTTTCTAACAGCCCTCACAACCTCTGCGGATGCCTGCCATAGATGAGGGCGAAACGTCAGGACAGGATGCTTCTGGAACGGCCAGACAGCCCCGAAAACTCAAATCCAACCCAGTTCAAGTGTTGTCAAACTGCATTCATTCTAATGTATAGAAGCAACTCTATACATTAGAGTTACATTCAATACATTCAATTTCCTATCAGGGCATAGGAAATTGAATTCTGTCTAATCTGATCTCTTCTGAATGCGAACCTGCTACAGTTTTGTGTCTTTCTGCACTTTGAACAGTTTTTTAAATATTTATTTTAGGCTTACTTACATTGAAGATAAGGGTTGACTTCTCCTTATCTGGAATGCTTGGGGCAAGAAATGTTTCGGCTTTTGGAAAAACCTGTCTTTGCCAATAGTTAGTTCATTTTATAACTTGGAGAGTATGATATAACTCAGAGATGGAGACCCAGCTCTAGATGTGAAATTAATTTGTGTCTCATATGCCTCTTATACACACATAGTCGGAAGGTAATTTGATACGGAATATTTGAAATAATTGTGTGCCTGAAATCAAGTTGGTATACACTGATCCATCAGAAAGTAAATGTGCCACTTTCTCAGCCTCGTTTTCGATTATTCAGTACTTCAGAAATATGGACAAGAGGTGCTCAAATTCAGACACATTCATATTGTGGAATTGACACAGGTTGGCGCCACTTTAACTACCATGACTCAGAACTATTGAATTGTAGGTTTATATACCAGCTCTGTTCAAGAGTGCCAGTGCCTCACCAAACTACAACTCCCAAGGTTCCGTGTGTGTATGTGTGTGTGTGTATTTGATTAGGATAGTTATACTCAGGATTCTCCGAGTGGGATTGTCAACCCTCTATTTGATGTACTGGTGGTGGGTCCGTAGGTGACTGTGGGGCCCTATTCTTGACCTGCATGTTCTCCCGCAGTGAGGGCATTGGTTTCCAGGTGGAAGGTGGCCCAGGTCCTCTTGGCATGTTTCTCTCTTTCGCCCTCTATTCGTGCCTCTTCTAATTCTACAGCACTGCTGATCACAGCTGACCTCTATATATATGACTCTTATACAGTGTTTCTAAAGCTGTGGGTCCCCAGATGTTATGGCCTTTAACTCCCAGAAATCCCAGCTGGAAAACTGGCTGGGATTTCTGGGAGTTGTAGGCCAAAACATCTGGGGAGTCACAGGTTAAGAACCACTGCTCTAATACATTAAAAGAGGGGAAATAGGCAAGCAGAGAAAACTTTTGAAACATTACAAAATTTTGTTGACTGCAGGTAAAAATGGAATAAATACCTCCCTCTTGGGCAGTGGTGTTTCTGTCTGTTGCCCTGACAATCTGGGATTCAAAGCACGAGAGTTCTTTGCCCGTATCTTGTTATGCAGCTGAAATGAACAGATTCTTCCTCGTTCTGCTGTGTTTCATACAGTGACCAAGGCCGGCTGAAGGCAGATGTGGTTGAACAAGATACGCAGGAGTGGCAGAGCAGCCCATCCTTTGCAGGGCTGGAAAGAATTGGGGGAGTCGACCTGTCTTACCTCAAGGGGGATGACCAGAGGGCCTGTGCCTCCCTAGTGGTGCTCAGCTACCCAGACCTCCAGGTAACAGCCTCAGGATGCAGGGCATTTTCCCCATGAAATTATTGAGGGCAAATCAAGGAATCTTTGAGCTAGCAGAGGAAAGAGGATAAAAATTTCCAAATTTCCCTGTCAAATTTGGGTGACCCCATTAATTTCAAAGGATTTTCTTAGTTAAGGATTACTCAAAGTTGGTGTTGCCATTTCCATTGAAATATACCCTACAGATCCCGGCATTTGTTGGCCATCTCCTATCCAAGTGCTAACCAGAGCTGATCCTGCTTAACAATCTAAAACAGGGGTCCACAAACTTTTTAAACAGAGGGCCAGGTCACAGTCCCTCAAACTGTTGGCAAGCCAGATTATAATTCGAAAAAAATACAAATGAATTCCTATCCACATGGCACATATCTTATTTGTAGTGCAAAAAACATTTAAAAACAATACAATAATTAAAATTAAGAACAATTTTAACAAATATAAACTTAATAGTATTTCAATGGAAACTGTGGGCCTGCTTTTGTCTGATGAGATAGGGTTGTTGTTGTTATTGTGTGCTTTCAAGTAGTTTCATACTTAGGTTGACTCTGAGCGAAGGACAGGTAAATTACCTTGGAGGGCTACAACTGGCCCCCGGGCCTTAGTTTGAGGACACCTGATCTAAAACGTCTGGTGTCTTTTAGATATCTAGGCCCTGTCATATTTATTTATTTATTTATTTAAGATATTTTTATCCCACCTTTCTCGAACCCGAAAGTGACTCAAGGCGGCTTACAACCAGGCAGCCATTTGATGCCTTAACAATATACACTTGAAAACATGGAAAACAGCCATACAAAGAGCTCTAAAATAATATAAAAACCAATGCCTTCACTGTTAATTTCGTTGTCCAAAAACGTTGTCTGAGCCGTTCCAAAATTCATTAGGTTTGCTTAGCAGTATTTATCAAGAGGAGGCTTTCTATTGCCTTCCTTTTAGGCTGAAAGACTGCGTTTTGCCCAATGTATCGCAGGCCATGCCATGGCTGAGATGAAGTATGTACCTTAAAGGTAAAAGTAAAGGTTTTCTCTGACATTAAGTCCAGTTGTGTCCAACTCTGGGGGTAGTGCTCATCTCCATTTCTAAGCCGAAGAGCCAGCATTGTCCATAGACAACTCCAAGGTCATGTGGCTGGCATGACTGCATGGAGCACTGTTACCTTCCCGCCAAGGCGGTACCTACTGATCTACTCACATTTGCATGTTTTCAAACTGCTAGGTTGGCAGAAGCTGGGGCTAACAGTGGGAGCTCACTCTGTTCAGTGGCTTTGAACTGCTGACCTTCTGGTCAGCAAGTTCAGCAGCTCAGCAATTTAACCCCCTGCCTGCGCCACTGCGGCCCCTGATTTGAACCTTAGCCTGACAGAATTCTAGCCCAACACGCAAACCACTGTACCATGTAGGCATTAGGTTTCCTTGCTAAAAAAAAAACTACCTTTTTATTTGGTGGTATATCCAGATGTTTCTTTCCATAAAGAGGCTGAGAATAGCCTTTTACAACATCTTAGAAGTGAGATGAAGGGGAGCTCTAGGATACTTGTCAAATTTTCAGCATACCGATAATAAAGTTGTAAGGGCTATTGTTAGTTCTGCTTATCATTTTAGAAGTTGTATATTTCTGATGTTTGGGGTTGCCAACCAGCAAGACAAAATTCTCCAGGTTAAAAAACATGGGACATTTCTCACAGCATTTTTATGGCAGCTGTAATTTTTGATTATCAGTAAACACAGAGACTTGTGATTTAAAAAACTGTTTTCAATATTGTAGCTGCTTTTAATGCATTTTCAGGCATTGGATTTGAAAGGAGACAGTAAAAATGTCATACCATCCATTGTCTTTCACAAATGGGATATTTTTATTAATTTGGTTGTTACTTAGTTTTGATTAAGTCTGAACACTGATGTTCAAGTATGTTTCATTTTGCGCTTTTGAACAGATTTTTGTGTTTCTTATCAGCAAATGGAAGTATCTTGAAACTCTATTAGAAAACTTCGCCTCTTTGTTACTGTTTATTTTTTGCTCATTAAAGAAATTCTTGTGAGTTATTACAAAATAATAATATCAAACCAAGTTGTGAAAAATGTATATGATGGAGCAAATCTTATATCATTTTGAATTTAGAAACACAAATTCCTTTACATGTTTCTTTAAAAAAATATATGTTTCTTTTAAAAAATACATGTTTCAGCATACATGTTTCTTTTAAAAAGTGTTAGAATTCTTAGTTTTGCAAGCCTGTGTTATAATTGTAAATGTGTAAATTTCTATCTCAAGATGGTGTCGTACATTACCAGAGATAGTGGTGCTGATCACAATGATATTCTCCATTTTCCTAAAGCTAAACATCTATAATAACTTTATTCGTATATCTCGCATCCACCCCCCTGAAGGAACTCAGGGCGGCTTACATGGGGACCAAGCCCAATATAAACAAGGTTGCAAAGTAACACAGTTAAAACATGTAACAATAAACTGTATAAAAACAATAAAACACATAAAATCTAAGACATCATAAAATATAAACAAGCAAGAACAACCAATAGCTCAGAAAAGTGGGCATGCGCAGATTTGAGACTAATAGGGCAGGTCACGGCTAGTGCAATGTAAACTGTGAGGCCGAGGGCTGGGATAAAGTGCTGGAGATCCTACCAAAAGACGAGGGCTGGGCAAACTTGATCAGTAGCTGAACTTATTCAAAGGCACATTGGAACATCCAAGTCTTCAGGTCTTTCCAAAAGGTGGACAAGGTGGGGGGTAATCTAATATCCCTGGGAAGAGAGTTCCAGAGTCGGGGGGCCACCACCGAGAAGGTCCCCACCAACTGTGCTTGTGACCAAGGGAGGAGAGAGAGAAGGGCCTCCCTGGCGAATCTTAGCACTCGCACCGGTTCATAGAGGGAGATAGGGTCACGAAGATAAGCAGGATCCAAACCGTTTAGGACTTTATAGATAATGCTTTGAATTAGGCCCAGAAACGTATCGGCAGCCACTGGAGCGAGCTGCTTCAGTCGAGGCGTTGTCCGCTCCCTGTAACTAGCTCCAGCTAGCAACCTAACTGCCGACCTTTGCACAAATTACAATTTCTGGGCCATCTTCAAAGGCAGCCCCATGTAGAACACATTGCAGCAGTCCAATCTAGATGTAACCAAGGCATGGCCCACTGTGGTCAAGTCAGGCTTCTTGAGGTACAGTTGCAGTTGGCAACAAGTTTTAATTGTTTAAAGACCCTGAGTCCAGGAGGACCCCCAAATTGCAGACCTCTGTCCTCAGGGGGAGTGTAACCCCATCGAGCCCAGGTTGCTGCCCTATACCCTGATCGGCCTCATGATCTAGCACTCCTGGATAGACTTTTCCAATACTTGTTTTCAAGCAGTTGTTTTCAAGCAGTATGAATTCACAGACTCCGCTATGTTTGAAAACATCATTTTTATCTCTCAGAAGCATTTCTGTTTATTTAACATTTTGCAGATGAATGCACGTTTTCTGTGGAATTCATTTCTTTTCAGCAGTTCGTGCAGAAACAGATGAGGAGCTTGGGAAAGGGCAGTGTTAAGTACCACTTTATTTGCAAGAAAACAAAAATGTGTCCCAACGTCTTGTTATTTCTGGGAGAACGAAAATGTGTCCAACCTTGGTTATTTGCTGACAAAAATTGTTTACGGAATCTCAAGGCTGACAGACAAAGTGAGCTGACAGCCATGGGAGTTGTTTTCCTGCTTTGAGACTCGCTGGGTGAGGAAGATCTCAAGGGGGTTCTTGTCAGACAAAGGAAACGCGTGACATTTCCTCAGGCGCAGCCTGAATGGACTTGCAAATGTTGTTCTCTCTTCATGGTACAGAAATTGTTATTCCGCCTGGAAATCATCCTCTGTGCTGCCTTTTCCTTCCGTCTCAGGTGTTGTATGAAGACTGCTGCATGGTGGATGTGAGTGCCCCTTATGTGGCGGGTTTCCTGGCCTTCAGGGAAGCGCCTTTCTTGGTGGAGGCAGTGCAGCGCTTGGAAGAGCGAGCACCTGGCCTCGTGCCTCAGGTGAGATGCTTTCCTTTGATGTAAGATTCACCCACACTCTCATCTGGTCCTTTATCTTTTGGCTCTAAATGCAGTTGGACTGCATGCCGCATCAGCCTTCATAACTGTTTGTTTATTTATTTATTTACAGTATTTGTATTACACCCTTCTCACTGCGCAGGGGACTCAGGTTGGATCATGATGCACACAGACATGACAGACATTCAATGCCATAGACACACAACATATATACACAGACACACAGAGACTATTTAACTTTCCAGCGTCACGAGGGTATGTTTTGAATTCAAGCCACCGGGGGAGCTGTTGCTTCACCATCCACTTGTGACACCGATTGAGTACTTCTTCATTCTTTTGCATGCTGCTGGAGAGTTTTATGGTGTTGTAAATTAGGTAAATTAGCCTCCCTGCATAAGCGGTACATACATTTTTTACTTGACAGATGCAACTGTCTTTCGGAATGCAAAGGTTGACAGCAAGTTAGAGAAATGGTCGGGAGCTTACTCTGACTTGGGCTGGCTTCGAACTCATGACCTTTCGGTCAGTAGTGATTTTAATGCAGCTGACACCCAACCAGCTGCGCCACTACCTGGTCACAACCAGCTGCATCACAACCCAGCATGTTTCTCTCTGGTTGATGGAAGCTGCAGTCCCACAGTATCGGGTGGCCTATTTCTCTCATATCCCACAGTGGTCAGCCAGATGGCTATGGGAAGGAAGCTCACATTCCAGATATGATCCCAGTAGACCCTTTCTGCTCGTTCTTTCCAGCAATTGATAATCTCAGAAAGCAGAGGTTTTATATATTTATCAATGGCTAGCCTTTCCAGCATGGAAAATTGCTTTCCCCCCCCCCCCCCTTGGATAGAGCTCCCAAAATCCCATTTATCCATTTATCACTGGTTGTGCTGGCTGGAAAATTCTGGTTGTTGTAATACCTCAGAAATAACCTTTCCAAGCTCAACTCTTTACTTTCATTCATTGGGTGGACAGAGCTGCCTGTTTTGGTTATTCTGTGCCCATGGCCACCAGACACTTTATAGGAATGTTTCACAGGTTCCTAGCCCAACAGAGCATCCACACAAATAAGGGGAACAATACACATTAGAACGGCCTGAGAGCATAAATGCATAAATATAATGACACCAGGATTTGCTTTTGCTCATTTTTTGGTCTGTTGCTTTTGGTTTTGGTTTTTGTGTTATTTTTTTCTGAAATCTTTTATGCTGCTAAATTATTATTGTGAAATTATCTTCTCAATTTTCTCTCTGTGGCTTTCCTAGGTCCTTCTTGTGGATGGAAATGGTATACTTCATCATAGAGGTAAGGTTCTTGACCATCATTATTTAGCCAGAACTAGATTTTCCTCACCGTTTCTAATTGGTGGATAATCATACTTGGAAGTTTTGGAGAAGCCAGATCTCGTGTCACTGATCTGCCTCCATTGTTTGGAAAAATAGTGTGTTAGAGGATGCCACTTAGTGCTCACATTTGCCATCTCTTCCTGGACCCACTCTGCACACGTTTTCTAAGATGGAAAATGCAGGTTGCATGGTAGAACCTACTACCTCTTACCTTGTCACTGCTTGAAGAGGGCAAGTGAACATCAAGAAAAAAGAGAGGAGTAGCTGAAAGCAGGAAGTGATATTATGTTGCTCTTCCGCAGGGCTGAGGCTGAATCTACACTGCCAGAAGCATGCAGTTTGGCACATCTGCCCATTTATTCTAATCAGGAAATGGTCCATTCTGCTGGTTTATGTCTTTAAACCGGGTGGTGGCACAGCTAGTTACTGGCCAGCTGCAATAAATCATCACTGACTGAGAGGTTATGAGTTTGAAGGCAGCCTGGGTCGGAGTGAGCTCCTGACCATTAATAGTCAAGCTTGCTGTTGACCTATGCAGCCTGATAGACAGTTACATCTGTCAAGTAGGAAATTTAGGTACCGCTTTATTTGGTGAGGCTAATTTAACTAATTTATGACACCACAAAACCTTCCAGCAGTGGTGTAGAAGAATGAGGAAGTACTCCATCAAAGGACCCAGTGTCACAAGTGGATGGTGAAGTGGCAGCTCCCCCTGTGGCTAGAATCGAGCATACCTTCATGAAGCCGGAATAGCTGGAATATTAAATTGCCTCTGTATCTGTCTATATATGTTGTATGTCTAAATGGCATTGAATGTTTGCCATGTATATGTGCATTGTAATCTGCCCTGAGTCCCCTGCAGGGTGAGAAGGGCAGAATATAAAATACTGTAAACAAATAAATAAATGGTTTTATCAGACCTTGCAGCAGACCTCTCAAAGAGGTTCTGGCCTTGACTCGTGCCCTGCTATGCTGATTGTTGACACCAGCCCTACTTTTTGTATAGATTTGGGAAGTTAGGGTCATTTTCTTGTCTTTTCTATTACAATTTGCTTGTCCTTTGGCAACGTGTATGTGAGTTCTCTTAAATAGGCCTTTGATTGTCCTTCAATGAGCCAATGAAGAGCATGTCTTTCTGGGTTCTTTTCTTCCATTTACTCTGTTTCTACTTTTCATTTTCCAGGATTTGGTATTGCCTGCCATCTAGGTGTGCTGACAGGACTTCCCAGCATTGGTGTAGCCAAAAATCTCCTACAGGTGGATGGTCTCTCCAATGATGATCTGCATAAGGAACAAGTAAGTCATGGGGCTGTTGTTATTGTTGTTGTTGTGTTTGTTTTTTGACATATAATGGTCCTTAAGATAAGCCTTAGGAATTTTTTTGTCAAGTTTTATTCAGAAGGGATTGCTTTCCTCATCTTCAGAGGCTGAGAGAGCCTGACTTTCCCAATCATGCAGTGGGCTTCCATAGCTGAGTGTGGATTCAAGCCTTGGTCTCCACAGTCATAGTCCAGTGCTCAAACTGATATCCCCAACACTAGTGCTCTGATTCTGATTCTGCATAATCTGAATCCTACAATGAATCAGCAGGGAATCCTATAGGAATAAGAGAAGCTGCTGGTTTACTTCCATTACAATTGCAGTCCATGTATCCTTGCCCACCATTAGTAGGGATCTGGTTAAAACAAAGCAGTGGTACAGTAGTATACAGAATGAGATAATTTCAGATTCATTCACATGTGTTTCAGTAACCAGTGAGTATTGTCTACAAAAGTGAACATGAGATAAAGTTTATTTGTTCTATTGATTGATTGATTTATTTACTTACAGTATTTATTTTCCGCCCTTCTCACCCCAAAGGGGACTCAGGGCAAATCACAATGCACACATACACAGCAAACATTCAATTTTTAGACATACAAGACAGACAGACAGAGGTACTTCAGCATTTTCCAGTTTCGGTGTCTGGAGGTTATGCAATTGCTTCATCCACTATGACACCGAGCACTTTTTGATCGTAGTATTTCTCCTTGTTCTTTTTATGGTGTCATAAAATGCCTCTCCTCTTTCTCTACCCACTGCTCAGCTGTTTTCGATCTGCATAGGTGGACAGTAAGCTAGGCTTAACAGTCAGGTGCTCAATCCAACTTGAACTTCGAACTTGCCACCTTCTAGTCGGCAGTAATGTATTGCTACTGGTGATTAACCAGCTGTGCTACAGCCTGGCCCAACATTGTTTAGCTCTTAGAAAGCTGACAAGTTGAGGTGCAAAAAGCAAAAACTTAAAAAAAGAACCTACAGTGTTCCCTCACTTATCATGGCAAGGTCTGTTCCAGGACCACCCGTGATAAGTGAAAATCCGTGAAGTAGGGACGCCATATTATTTTTAATATTTATACATTATTTTATATATTTTATATATTATTTTCTTACCCGCGCTTCCTTACTCGCCTCCCGGCCCATCCCAAGGACATCTGCCTGCCTCCCTGGCCTCTGCAGAGCTTCCGGAGCCACGCAGCCAGCAGCAAGCCAGGGAGGCAGGCCTTCCCCGCTGTGCCTCAGGCTGCCGCACTTCCAGGGTCCCTGGCCTCCCTGGCCTCCACTGGACATAAATATTTAATATTTAATATTTTTTATTAATATTTTCAAAAACCCATGAAACAGCGAGTCCACTAAAAGCGAACCGTGAAATAGCAAGGAAACACTGTAATAGCAAACCACAGCCAAACATGGTTTCTTGGAATATATATATATATATATATATATATATATATATATATATGCACACACACACACATATGCACACTTTGTTAAGAAAGATAGTGTGAAGTGTGTTCCCAAAAAGGAAAAGCACTTTTTTCTGGGTTGAAATGGATACCTGTGAGTAGGGGTCCTATCCAGTCCAATCTCATCCTGGAATACTTATTCAGAGAGCAGTGGTATTGGCAGCAGAACTGAGGTTATGATGGCAAATATCTCCCAGTTGTCACCTTGATGAAGGGAGCTCTGGGAAATCATCCAGGCATAATCATTGGCCATCACAAAGTTCTTTCTTGGTATTCTAGATCCAAGCCCTCCAGGCAGGAGGAGATACCTTCCCTCTCTTAAGTGCTTCAGGGACAGTCTTGGGAATGGTAAGTACATAGATGTGGAGTGAGTGTGTGTGTGGTGGGCGGGGAAGGGGGGGCTCAGTGGGAAAAGGAGAAAGCAATGAGCCATTGCTGGGGTTGCCAGACTGATGGGAAGGAGACCCTGATTGGTCTGCTTCCAGAGTCTGGCCCACCAAATGTTCGGGACCACAGCACCTCAATCTCTTTCTAGATTGTGTTGTCAAAGGCTTTCATGGCCAGAATCACTGGGTTGTTGTAGGTTTCTTGGCAGGCATCCTTAGAGGCATCTATGGCAGGCATCCTCAGAGGTTGTGAGGTCTTGATTGTTGTAGTCCAAGCAGTCTGAAAGGCCAAAGACTCGCCAGCTTTGTGCAATTGTCAATTTTCCATCGATTAGCCCCTAAACCAGTGGTTCTCAACCTGGGGTCCTCAGATGTTTTTGGCCTTCAACTCCCAGAAATCCTAACAGCTAGTAAACTGGCTAGGATTTCTGGGAGTTGTAGGCCAAAAACATCTGGGGACCCCAGGTTGAGAACCACTTCCCTAAACTGTGCTGTTGTTCTCAATACCAGCATTTCTTCCATAAATACTGTCAGTTTGTGCAACTGCACAGTTTGGGGGCAGCCTCCCTGGCCTCTTCTGCTCAGGGCAATCACCAGTTCAACCAGAATGGAGTGTAAAAGGCTTCCAGAATACTCCACTTATTGGGGAGAGTCAGTTTGAAGGTGGGAGAATAACAGAAGAGCATCACCAAGAGCTCGAAATTGGTAATAGTATGGACAACGCACACGCCTGCATGAATACATGCACATACAGAGTGCACTGTGGGGACAGTAAATGCCAGGCTCACCTTGTCTTAAGATATCCTTCTAGAAACACTTGCCAAAGATCCCAATCCTCTCAGAAAAACTGAGACATCACTGCAGTTTGGTCCCTATAACTCACAAAGTTCGATAACGAAGACTTTTGTTATAGATGGAATGAGAAGTTAGCATATTTGCAACTGTGGTTCTTTAAGTGGTCATCTGTGGCCTGATGCAAATGAGTTACCTGCATTGCCACAGCGCACCATTCAGAACTTTTAAGAGCTGGGGAATAGCACGTGCAACCTGTGCCAGTCATGCCAGTCATGCTCAATCTCTTTGTTCCTTTGTCCACTGCAGCAGCAGCATGGGTAGAAACTGTTCTCTGAAATGACTTCAGACGTTTTAGTATTGAAATATGTACTCTGGAATTACCTGTCTGCTTTCACCTCTAACTGTGATTCTTTGAGTGGTCATCTGTGAATTCACACAACCCCATCAATCAAATCATTTATTTCGGTCATTGACCAGCACAAACACAACCCCATCCTTTCCCTCCTCATCGTGTCCTGCTCTCCTTCCCTCCAGGGATTCTCCTTGGTGTCCAGAGAACTGAAGGATGGAGTAGGAATGGGTCCTGTGTGGCATGTCAAAGAGGGCTACTACCAAAATGTTTATTTCCTTGCTCTAGAGAAGGTTCCAAGTGACGTATTGTGCAAGCACAGGCAACCCAATTGTATCAGATCACAGATGACCACTCAAAAAATTACAGTTACAAATATATATTCTTATTTATATTTGGTATAAAATGAGCTTTTTCATTTTATACCATGATTTCTATATTAACTTGATTGCTATATTGGCCATCAGGTGATAGAATCAAAGAGTTGGAAGAGACCTCATGGGCCATCCAGTCCAACCCCCTGCCAAGAAGCAGGAATATTGCATTCAAAGCACCCCCGACAGATGGCCATCCAGCCTCTGTTTAAAAGCCTCCAAAGAAGGAGCCTCCACCACACTCTGGGGCAGAGAGTTCCATTGTTGAACAGCTCTCACAGTCAGGAAGTTCTTCCTAATGTTCAGGAGGAATCTCCTTTCTTGTAGTTTGAAGCCATTGTTTCGCGTCCTAGACTCCAGGAAAGCAGAAAACAAGCTTGCTCCCTCATCCCTGTGGCTTCCTCTCACATATTTATACATGGCTATCATGTCTCCTCTCAGCCTTCTCTTCTTCAGGCTAAACATGCCCAGCTCTTTAAGCCGCTTCTCATAGGGCTTGTTCTCCAGACCCTTGATCATTTTAGTCGCCCTCCTCTGGACACATTCCAGCTTGTCAACATCTCTCTTCAATAGCAATGCCCAGAATTGGACACAGTATTCCTGGTGTGGTCTGACCAAGGCAGAATAGAAGGGTAGCATGACTTCCCTGGATCTAGGCACTATACTCCTATAGTACATATATACTAGGTTCATGTATACAGTTATCTCTTTGAATGTCTGAAGAATGTATTTATAGTGAACTAACTGCTCGGCCTCACAACATTCATGCTGTGAGTCTCCTGCTTCACTTCTCAATTGTAGCCAAATTTTTCCTATGTGCTTTGATTCTGTTCTGATTCCTACTTTTGCATTCTAGTCACCTGCGATTAACAAGAAGTCATGTTTTGGTTATCAGATTCCTCCTGGACTCCAGCTTAGAATGATTTAATTTCTTCTCTTTCCTCTGTAGTTGGAACACAAACTTGGATTATAGTTATGTTGAGGAGTTTTATAAATACTATGTAGTCAAACCTTGTATTATATTGAGTTGTGTGGTTTCCAGGCTGTATTTTTAAAAATGTATTGTTGAAGGCTTTCATGGCTGAAATCCGTAGGGTGCTGTGTGGTTTCCAGGCTGTATGGCCATGTTCCAGCAGCATTTTCTCCTGACATTTTGCCTTCATCTGTGGCTGGCATCTTCAGAGGATGCCCCAGTGATTCTGGCCGTGAAAGCCTTTTGACAGTACACTTGTATTATATTCTTTGACTGTTTTGTATCTTGCTCTTTTTTCCACAATTTCTTCTTAGATTTTCATTTCCTGAACCAAACACTGTGTAATTACCTGACTCAGAATGTCCTATTTCCTGTCCACTTTAGCTCACTCACCACAGTATTGCAATGTTTATTATACATCCATTTCCTGTTTTATTATATCTACCTTCCTTTGACTCATGTTTCTCGCAATTCCATGTTTCCTATAATATGAGTTGTTCAGTGTGGAACTTTCCTGAGTACATCAGAAACTGAACATCCTTTCAATTTGAGTCCATTTGTACCTTCTGACCTAGTAGTTTCACCTTCTGACTTTATCTCTTGTTTGATTTTGGACTGCCTCATCATAGGAGTTTCAAAGTAGAAGGTGCATTACTGACACATGTTAGCTATGATGCTGTTGTCATTGTCTTTGAGAGATCCTCCACTAGTGTCAGTCTCCATTAAGGCTCCAGCCCAGTAGCTGTTTGGGACACTTAGCTCCTCAGCAAAAATGCCTGCTTGGCATATGAGATCCTGCCATCAGCACAGCCTCTTCCCTCATAGGAGCAGGCAATCCCACCACAATGGAAAGGTGCAACCCCTTTGCCCCTAATGATTGCCTTGACTCCTCTATGCCTGTTTGTCTCTCCCGTCCCAACTTCTTGTCCCTCTGTCACTCAAGCCCTTTGTAGTTTTTATCATATTTATATAACTCCCATTGTCTCTGTTTTCTGATTACCCAGGCCTTGCGTAGCTATGCCAAAAGCACCAAACCTGTCTATGTCTCTGTGGGCCACAAGATGAGTCTTCCATCCGCTGTGCGCCTGGTTCACTCCTGCTGCAGGTATCGGGTTCCTGAGCCCATCCGTCAGGTGCGAACTGTTATCTTCCTCTTACAGTTAAAAGGGGGTGGTAGTTCTGGCAGCCTCTAGCTGAGGAACTTGGATGACCCAACAGGATGCCCTGCCTTGCTTACCTGCTGTAGCCCAGCTTAATGTTTCTGATAGTGGTTAGCTGAGATGCCTCTGGGAGGTCACAGGCATAGTGTTGAATGGTAGCCCTCCTCTGTTGCATTTCCCCAACAGTATCTAATGTTCTCAGCTTACACTGCCTTCCTAATAGGTGGAGCTTTTCAAATAGATATCTCATCTGATAGCCATTGAGATATCTTTGACTTTGTCTAATTTTAAAAAGTCAGCCTTTATCATATTTAATAGTAGTGAAGAGTCCCCATGCACAATGGGTTAAATCCTTGTGCTGGCAGGACTGAAGACTGACAGGTCAGCGGTTTGAATCTGGGGAGAGTGGGTTGAGCTCCCTCTGTCAGCTCCAGCTCCTCATGCGGGGACATGAGAGAAGCCTTCCACAAGGATGGTAGAACATCAAACATCTGGGTGTCCCCTGAGCAATGTCCTTGCAGATGGCCAATTCTCTCACACCAGAAACAACTTGCAGTTTCTCAAGTCAGTTCTGACATGAAAAAAAGCGGTAGTGAATTTCACAAGTGAGAGACACAATTAATGAAAAATATTTGTTTTGCCCGTCCTGGGCAAAACACAGATTGTAAAATAATCCCCAGTTGTCAAAGGAGGATACCACATTGGGCTGGGAAGAGAGACAGTATAGTGCTTGTTGAACCAGGAATTTTGAGATCCAGGTTAATGAGGTGACCTTTGGTAAGTCTCCATCTCTCAATCTGACCTGCCTCATGGGGTTATGAGAAAGAAAATTGCTCACAAGCCTGACT